CGGTATTTTACCGCAGCACATTTGGTATTTCAATGTCTCTTGCAAAACTATGCATGTACAAAATAAAGAACACCAACTCACATAAATTACAACACAAAACATCCGAAAAGCTTAGGCTTGATCAGCGAAAATGTCGGATGGCAAAGATTGGTGTGGCTTATCCAGCAGCAGTAGCAGTAGCAACAGCATACCATCCCATATTTTCGGTTCGGCCCATATAAACCGTCAACTTGAGTTTTAATTGAATATTATGCCAGAAATTTTCCACATTAAACGATTTCTTATTAAATAAATATCAAACAGTGAAATACTCCAACGAAAATAGCCGAATAGCTCTTCAAACAATCGATTGTATTTATGTTTGACTTTATTGACAATCGTTTATTATTTATTGTTTATTGGTTGGCTTTGTTGTGGACGACACTCGGAGTAGCCGTAAATGTCATCGAATGATTGCATGTATACACACCATAAATAGCTTCAGGTCAAAATGAGATACCGAGTGCCAATAACGATCGGACTTTTTGGAATTGCATGTGCTTTAATTTATGGATTATTTTGTTGTTCGGTCGCATAAACCAGGACATAACATATGCCAATAATCATAATCTAATGACTTTATGTCGACTCACACACGATAAACGTTGATGAGCAGCAACCCGTGACAACATTTTATGATGTGCTCTTTGATTCGCCCAGCATGGAGCGGGTCGGGTCGCATATGCGTTCGCTCGCTCACTCGGTGTGCGGTCAATGATAAACTTTTGCAAACTACATTTTAAATATGTTTCATCAAATTAATGTTTTAATCTTCTTCGAATACTTTTGCCATTTACATTTTCTTAATGGGAGCATTGAGATTCCCATTTCACTATCACAGCATTGATCTGCTCTTCTCTGCTCTGCTAATGCCCGGAAATTTAAGTTTGTTATTTTGAAGGAAAACAACTTTAATTAAATAATTGTTTGATCAACCATGAAATGGTTAAAATGGCTTTATGTGACTCGTAGGTTGTTTCTTCGGATGACTTGTCATTGGTCCCACAAATTCCATCCCGTTCCGGTTCCGTATGTTCAATATTTTGATTTGTTGAAGAGCTACACGATGAAAAGTTCTTACATTTTGTTCTACAATTCTTATTTACAATAAATCAATTTGAAAATGGCAAAAACTATGTTTCAAATTTATTGACCATCTCAATAAAAAAAACTACGCTACAAATATACCGCGTGTATTCCCTGCGCACGCTACGTTTATACCATTTTCACGCTTACGCTTATTTTTTTTACATATTTTAATACAGAGTCGAAGGTATATTTAAGGCATATTTTTAGCGTGAACCGCATGCAAAGCATACGGATAGAATACGCCAAGTCAAAGTATTCTATCCGTATGCTTTGCATGCGGTTCACGCTAAAAATATGCCTTAAATATACCTTCGACTCTGTATTAAACTATATATAAAATAAGCGTAAGCGTGAAAATGGTATAAACGTTGCGTGCGCAGGGAATACACGCGGTATATTTGTAGCGTAGTTTTTTTTATTGAGATATTCGACATCAATTTGTTGTTTTGTTTCGTTGTATTTTATTGTTTACATTGTATTTGATTTAATCAAATAATGATGAAGAATTGATAACAAGAATGAATTTCTAATGTGTATTTTTCCAAAAAATAAAATAAGCATAGAATATTTTTTAAAAAATGGAATACTACAATCCAAATCCTGTGAATCCATGGATCAGCCAAAGCGATTCAATGGCAGTGAAATATGTAGCCAAAACTGTAAATGAATTATCGGAATAACGAAATCACAAAACCGACACACAACGGAACGGAATTTATGCGACTAATGATAGTCCGCGTACAGCTCATTCGGAACATACACGCTGAAATCAATGCCACATCAATGGTATTGTTGTTGTAGTTTGCATTATTTCAACTTTTGGTCAAATACAATCCCATTGGTTTTGAAGCAGAGCTAGTGTTTCAGATTACTGAATGCACATAACACAGCAAACTCAACGCAACGTATGCCTTGTGATGCGACTATTTCCTCGGAATTTTGGAAATGAATCTACAAAGCATCTACCCACACCTTTTTATAAAAACCAATTTCATTTTGCGGAGAAAAACACCATTCATTTAAATCATGTTGATGCGTTGGTCGAAAAATTAACGACGCAATAAATGTATACCGGCGACGCAATCAAATTCATCGATCGCAAAAAGGATCCCAATTGGATGGTTTGTGTGTAAATATGTACATGTGCGTGCGAGCGAGTATGATGCAATGGCCACCGATGCAACCATATTATTCCAAATGCAATGGATGAGAGTAACAAATTAATATTTCATACGATGAGCCCGGAGATAGACGAATGATACTTACGAAATATATGTACATAAATCATGATAAACAATTGTTGGAGTTGAAATTATATACATTGGGAGATTCGGAGATTCCACGTTGAATACATCATTAAGTGAATGCTTTTCTCTGAGCTGTGGCTAACAGTCCAGATTTTATGTTTCGTACATGATAATCGCAAGCTTTGATTTGATGGAGGTGCATAGACTGAGAGATGTGTTGATAGATAGAAAGTAATTTCGAGGTTGTCCAAGATGGATTTTATGTCATTGAATCCGATTCATTATTTTTTTTATTACATCAATAATATTTTCGAATCGAATTTAATTCGACTAGACTGAAGGCATTGCAAATGTTATGATATTTCAGTCACATATGAATAGGTCATTTCATAATTTCGATGGATGTTGATAACGGCAACGCTGTTGATTTCATCATGGCCAATCCATCAATTATATGAAATATGATAGTTGTTTCCTTGGTTAGCAATTTTGATTCACTCTCTTGATATTTTTAATACAAACCCATGATGAAACACGAAACTGTACTCTCCAACTAATTATTTTCGTCTAGTACAATTAATCATTTGTTATCTGAAATACATATTGATGCACAGGGAGGCAGGAAGGACGGTAAGCCAGGTTTACCGCCCCACTAAATTTGTGATTCTCTTTTCTGAAGAGCCATTTCTACACTAGATAAAATCGAAAGTGAGGATCTTTTCTAGGTATTTTCCCAAGCTATGAACCGCCCCTTATAGGTTCTAACCGTGCATCAATATGCTGAAATATCAATCAAAGAGCACATTAGGTTTGTGTGAGTGTTTTTTTTTCCACATACGTATGATTTGTAATTCTATAAATATTTATTTTTTTTAATAATAATAATATCATAGTAATTTTTTTTTGCTGTCGCCAAATACATATTTGATTAGATGTAAAACAGTAGGTATATGTTGTGCCATAAAAAATCAATTAAAAACAACGGCTATTTAAAAAAAGAAGAAACAAGTTTCGTATCGATAAAAAATAAATATCTAATGTTCTACAAAGGATTCATGTTGTTGTTGATGTTTTCATTTTTGTTTTCATTTTTGTTTTTGTTTTTGTTTTTGTTCAATTCAATAGCATTTGTTTCGAGAAACTTGGATTATTAATTAAGCTAAATTAACAACTTCTTATCTAAAACATTCAGCGTAGCGTTGGGAGTGGCGATAGTCCCAAACACAGCTATTTGCTACTTGTTCTCGTTTATCAAATTTCTGCTAAAAAAAGGTGCATTCCGTCATCAGTTTAGCTGGCAAAAAAGTGATTGATGCTATTCTGATATCCTTTCATATTTCGTCGGTTACTTTATCGCTCTTGTGTTTCATTTCTTTACTAAACATCAGATGCAAAAAATATGAAATGCCGTTTAATATCATGTAACATAGCTATACCTATTCATTGATAATTTTTAATTTTTAATTCTTGTTTTTTTTTTGTTTCGTCTAGCTAAATATCTGTTCGTTTTTTTTTTAATTTAATTCAAGTTTGTCGTTTTTTTTATTCTGCTTGTATCCTGCTTCAATTTGTCCAATTCAATTTATTTTTGTGTCATCATCGTAACTGTTTCTGCTGTTATTTTCTCAATTTATCCAATCCTTTTGAAATCAGATGCACTTGCAATCAATGCATGAATAGTCAGACGAATGTTCCACTTTCAAATGTTCACTACCGTTTTCTATCTAACAAATGTTATTTTTAGTTGCTTTTTTCCCACAAGAAGTTTGCTGTTAACTTAGAAGTGACTGTAGCTTAACAGTGAAGTGTCACAGTCACAGTGAGCATACTAACGAGCATAACGCATACATACACGCACACTCAATAGCTTACTACGTGTACGTGTATGTATGTGTGCGTTATACCCGTTCGCATGCTCACTGTGACTGTGACACTTTACTGTTAAGCTATAGTGACTGCTAAGTTAACAGTGAATTTTATTGTGGGTTGTTTCTCTTTTTTTGCTTGCTTTTTTTCCCTTTGAATTCGGGTTCATGTGTGCAGATTGAGAGTACTAGATATATAAACCGTTGTGTATACTTTATAAAATTGATTCCGAACTACAAATTGGTTTAAGGGGGGGAGACTTTGTGGTGTGTTTTTTGTGTGTAACTGTAGTTGTTGGTTTTTTTTCCTTCAATTTTTTGAGAATTAGATTTAAATTGGATATTAAGACAATCATTGAAAGAGAATATAATATTTGCTCGTTTTTTTTTGTTGGGTTGTATATATTTTGGTTTCTATGTTATGCACGTGGATTTAAACTTCGCTTACTTGAGTGTTAACAAACAGAAAAAGCACATTCATAGTGTTGTGTGTTCTGGGTGTGTGTGTGTGTGTGTGTGTATGTGTGTATGTCGTTCACACTGTTGTGAGTATAATGCCGGGCTCATTGATCGAAGAACGAAACAATGGGGAAAAACCGTTTGCAGGCATTGATGAAAAACAAATGAATCAGAAATAGACAAATGGAGCCGGGCAATTTCTATGGAATATATATCAAAAGGTGCATATTTTCATGCACAATCACCTAAAAAGTCTATTTCTAACTAGGGGTTTTCACTGTTTTATTGTTTTCTTTAGTGATTTTGGTGGCAATGAAACGTTTAATCACTAGCGCAAATACTGTGAAATTGTATATCGTGTTCAGTAATTGCAACTAGTGGCTGCTGCTAGGTTTCTGTTGTTGTTTAATTATTTGTTATTTAATTCAAAGATGGCTCTTTGGAAAAAGAAAACTTGTACGATCTTACAAAAAGCATTCTAGAGAAAAATACGATTTAACATAGTGTTCGAATTTAATTGAATGGACTCGATTTTGTTATCTGATCTTTGGTTTCTGTTCGCTACACATTTGTTGTTGAAACTTGGTTTATGATTTGAACGAAATTTGTCGTCGTCTGTCTATTCGTGTTCCCTATGCTTACGGTAATATAATTCTTAGTTTATCTACCATATAAAAATGGAATGGATTTTCTGTGTGAATGCCCATGATTTAATGTCATTTTTGTTGTTGTTGTTGTTGTTGTTGTTGTTGTTTGTTTTGTTCGTTAATTGGAAAGCTTGTTAAACATTATGTTTCTCTCTAAACGCAAAAAATGATTCGCATTCGGTGTTTCACACTCTGTGTGTTTTTCCCTTTTCTCGCACTCTTCCTTCTTATTTTGGCTAATTTCCTTCCTGTCACAGCACAGTGACAGTGTTTCTCGGACGATTGTTTCAATGTATGACCGAAAAAAAATCGTATGGAAAATAACTACATTTATCCTCTTGAGTAAAGTATTCAAAAAAGCTGAATATAAGTGAGACGGCGATGATAATCTAATTATAGTCTTTAGCATCTGTATCGGTTTTTGTATCTAAACACGGTTTAGCTTGATAAAATTGGTTTTCTTTGAATCTATCGGACATTTTGAGAGATTAACATGCTTGTTAAATAATTTTACTTTGAGACTATGCCAAATTCACAATTGTGTATTGTTATCGTGAGTGGTTTGCGTGTGCAGATTGGACGGCAAGCCGGAATCCAGTGTTGTTGTTGTTGCTTTTTTTGTTCTTTTGTTATGTATTTTATTTTTATTTTAAATTTTAATAAATCGTTGAAGCCATAAATGGTGATCGAAGATGATTAACCGTGCATAAATTCATATTAAACACATAAAATTGACAATGCAACGAAAGACAAAACACTTTGGATTATATTCGTCTAAAAATAAAGCACGTATATGTTTTTTGTGTGTGTCTTGTATTTGAAAGCGATTATGATATGACCATACATCAAGCGATTTGGCATTTGAATTGCAACATTGCCAGCGTGTGGGTGAAAAAAAAGTATGAGTTCAAAGCAAATGTCATTGCTAAATTCATTTGAGTATTTTGTATGTGAGAGGCAAATTGAAAATGAAATATAATCAAGAAGAATTCACACTCCTATAGTATTCCGTTATAAATTCTTATACGTTTACGGAAGCAGCAGTTATTGGCATTTATGTCATTTTATAAATATAACAACACTGTTGAATCAAACGTAAAAAAAACTATTGTGGAAAAAAAGTATCAAAATCACAAAATCTCTCAACACACGTGAAGTGAAAACTCGTTGAAAAAAAAAATGATAACGATTGAACGAAATCGGATCGCTTTTGATCTTGTTGGTGAAAACAAAAACCAAACGTATGGATGAAGCACCAACAGTGCTCAAGATCTTATTCGCCCAAATGTTCGAAGAGTTCTTATTGCATATGGCTATATGGAATGCAAATCCCGAGCTGATGATGATTTTGGTTTTGGTATTTTGTATTAAGCCATCTCATTTGCATCGGCCGTGGCAATGGCGATCGCTTTGAACATACATCAAAATATCAAGTGTGAAACTGTCCATAATTATTTATGTTGTGGCTTGTTTCATTGTCTAAACGTTCACCGCTACGAATATCATTTCTTGTTTGCTTTGTATGTTTAGCTGCTTTAATTGTTTTTTTTTTGGTTTGTTTAAATTATTATAGCATTGAATACGTGATGATATAAATTCAACAACGTCGCATAGTTATGTTTGTTTATTTTTCTTTTCGTTTATCTCATCTACCCTGTTTGTGTGTTGCACGTTATGGAATTTAGATTTTCTCCTCTTCTTTGTCTTTGTTGCAACCCCAGAAGCGATCGAAGCGGTCACGGGCTTCATTAAGATCGTCGGTAGCGGCAGGGCGTTCTTTAAGTGTTGCCGCCGTAACATCTAGTGCTGTATCGAATACTGGATCGTCCAAACGACGTAATGTCGAGCCTGGTATTGGTTTGTCATACGGCGCAGCCGATATAATGCTTGTCGTATGCGCTGGCTCTTTTATCGGAAGTGTTTCCTCAAGCTTTTCATTTTTCCATGCTGTGAAAATTAAATTTATATTTTTTTTATCTTTATCATAATGTATCAAACACAGATGATGTTACACTATCCACCTAAATTTATACTGGTTAACATATTGTGGGTACAACAAAGAGAGAAGGGGGAGTCAAAGTGTTTTTATTTTACAAATCTAATAGATACAATACCTTCCATTTTAGCTTGTTCAATAACATTTGGTGGTGCTGAAAACGGAGCCGATGGTGGCTTATCGACCGGTGTTGAGACTTTGAATTCACTTTGTGGTCGTGCAATTGGATCGCCTACGATTCGAGAATACACATATTGTTTTTTTCTTGTTGGTTGGTTGGTTGATTGGTTGGTTTGTTTGTTTATGTTCAGGGTGGATGGGTGGTTTGGAAACAAAATGTGGATGCAAAAACAAAAACTGTTATCTACTCACCGTTGCGAATGTTTTGTGTAACAGTAAACGTTTTGCCAGTATCCAAGGGAACCACCCAGTTCACTGGATCTGGTGAACGCATTAGAATTTGTTCAGGCGATTTAACGCGAGTCGGCTCTGGCGGAGATTTAACTATATGTTCGTAAATTTCGTGAGCTGGAATTGGACTGGCACTTGATAGAGATGTAACGCCATCTTTATCCGTGTCATCTTCATCTAAATTGGTGGGAAAATCAATCAAAAGAAAAACACAAATTTTCAATAGAATCATTTTGCGCGCCGGGAGAGATAAAAAAAAACAAATAAAAGATTCGTTTCACGTCGCGTCAAATGTATGTATGATGAATCCATGCACTTGGATGGAACAAATCAAATAAAACCAAGAAAACTAAAATTTTGAAACACATCGTCTTTGCCACATAATTCGCAGTCTTTGGTTTTTGTGTTGTATTGTATTGTGGATGTATGTCGTCAATGTGTGTATTATTCATTTTCATTGTTTACTCTATTGATGTGTAGTATGTGTTTTGGGTGTGTATGTATATGTATATGTTAGATGAGAAGCGACAATATGTCCAGATAACCGATAAGATGCTAGTATTTGATGCATGTAATGTGTGTTTAATGTGTGTTGATTCGTTTCCTACTAGACAAACCATTTGCTCCTTGGATAGTAGAACAAGTTACATCATTCGGAATATAAGGTAGAGGTCGAAGGGATTGAAGCGAATTCTAACGAAAAGCCAAAAATCATTCTGTTTCTGTAAGCTATGAGTGTTGATGAAAATGACGAGAAAAACCAAATCGATATTTACGCAATACGTCCACGGAATTCAATGAGAATGTAATAGAAATTTATTGCTGCCCGAGCTCCTTATTTTCCTCACCTCAAAATCAACTCCGTTCAACGCTAACTATTTCAAATAAAATAAATACCTACCAAAATACGCGTGCAAAAATCGTGAAAACAGACGCACATTTTCCCAGCTATTGCCTTTCTCTCCCCCTCCCCTCACACACTTCCGACTCTCGTCTGTTTTGCGAAACGATTTTTGCAATTTAATTTTTTTTTTTTTTTTTCATTGACATCATATCGCAATGCATGAGAATGAATGAATCTGTTGCAATGCAATGTTTACGTAAGTAAATTAAGAAAAAAAAGAACAAATTGTGTCAAAGTATGAGTGCAATGAAACTAAATGACAAAATTCTAGAGTAATATATATTTAATTGAATTTCAATATTATTTTGTACATGATTTTAAATGCGTAAAACAAATTTGTGTTATTTTTGTTGTTGTTGGTTGGTTGGTTCGTTTTTATTTCTTATATATTTATATTTTATAAACATTATGCTAAAAAAAATTGCAATTTTTACCGAAAATGTTTATAAAAGAGAAATATACAATGTTTTAATTTTAATGTTCAGCTTAAAAATGATGGTTAAAAATGGCATTTAAAACAAAACAACAGAAAGCAATGTCGTTATTTAGCTTATGCTATGCAATTTGCGTAATGAAAATGTTAAACTTTTTTTTTTGTTAATTTTCTTTCCTCTTGAAGAAAGTTTCAAGCACATTTTCATGGAGGGAAAACGAAGCTTCGCAGAAATCTACAAATTAAAGCGTGTGTGGTATTTTATTTATATAGACTAAATGAGAAGTAGAAACAAGAAGATGAATAAACGAACGAAAACGGTTCTAAAAAGAAAACACACGTGGTCCACGATTTATGACTTGGTCATCATGGTTTCTTTTTTCTCAAAATTATACCGCGGTTGGTTTTGGTTTCGCATTGGATTTAGCTGTTTGGGGCCGTATCCGCGCACTGTCTACACTTTTATTTGTTGCTGTGGCACTTTTCAAACTCTGGCTATTTCGCCCATTTGAATGCAGTGGATTCGAAGTAATGGACGTGGGCTTTTTCGTTGGAGGAGTTAATTTCGATCTGTCCGTACCTAAACGTGGTGTTGCATTTCTACTACGTATGCCACTATTGTGCGTTATCGGTAAACTTGGTTGAAACCTTGGGCAAATTTCTCTCACGAATGGTTTCGGTTTTGGTCTTTCTTTCTTTGCTGCCAAACCTACTCTATTGCCAATTCTAGTCGCGTTTGTATTGCTCATCGCTTGCGGTCCTAAATTAACAAATTTGTTTTTTTTTTAGTTTACACAAAAAATTATTATATTGACCAGGACACAGAAAAAAAAAATCAATAAATATTCAATTGAAAATGATTTTTAATTGAAAAAAAATAGAGAGACTTTTTTGCCACTATGACAAATAACGTTCACAAATAAATTATGCGATTTTTGGCTGATTCATTTTATTTCAATTGTTTTCTCTTGTTATTTTTGTTATTGTTTAGTTGCCATGTATGAATGAATGATGTGAATTGAAATGGAACTGAAAAAAAAAATTCAAATTAGACCGAACAAAAACTGTGTTCTACTTTCCATAAAAAAGCAATACCAGAACTTAAAACAAATTTGTCTAGTCATGTTTGTGTGTGTGAGTGTGTGGGTGTGTCGTGAGTATGAGTGTGTTGGTTTGTGGAAAAGAATCCTTGAATTTGGATTGATTGAGTTGCGATTACATTTCTAAAGAGTGTGTTACGATTGTTTTGTGATAAAAAAGAACAGATAAAACCATGAGAACAGTTCCGATTGAAGAACATATATTTTTCTTTTTCTCTCAAATAAAATATAATGCCAATTCCGATTGCGTAAGGGTGCAGTCACATTGATGACTGTGATAAATACCAACATTTTTGGGGTTGCTGTTTTGTTTTTGTTTTTGTTTTTGCAACTACAGAATATTCATTGTGTTTGTGATCATCATGTTGATGTTCGTTTCTTCAATGGCAACTAGCTCATGAGATTAGTACAGTGAAGTAAATATTTATAGACAGTAAGCGAAAGAAAATACAAGCAACTTATAATTAATTGGTTGTTGTTTTATTTTTGTCTATGTTCAAGACCATATTACGAAATGTGTATGTGTGTGTGGATTTTTGATCTTGCTACACATCTATATAGTTGTGATCAATATATGTGTAGTTGATCGCTTCATGAGACTGATTTAAGCCAATCGTGTGAATCGAATGAGTTTTGATGTGTGTTTGTTTTGGAAGAAAAAAAAAACTCAGTTGTAACTAAATAAAACTGTCGAAAAGTAAGTAGTTTTCATTGATTTTTTTTACGATTTAATTTCTTTTCTTTTTTTCATCTGGTTGATTCAATCAATTGAAATTATGTCCTTTTGATCTGTACATTGTGTACGCGGTGTTCAAAAATTGATTAGTGTAATGAGCAAAATAAATAAATGCATGAACGAAGTGAAAAACAGAAAGCTAAATGAAGAGATAGAGCACGAAAAAAACTAAAACGAGTAAAAATATGGCGGCGACCGTGGTTGAAAATCGACGAAATGTCTGACATACACAGAAAAAAAAAAGTCAAACATAGACAAGAAATTCGATGGAAATGAAACATTGATTTCCTCGTGAAAAGAAAAAAAAGACAACAAAAACGCCATGACTCTTTGTTTGATTCCACACAAAATGATATTTGGTTTCATTTTCCTTCTATTTTCTAATTGATGAAATTGCTCTACAAAATTCAATGCGATCGAACAAATGCACTTGGACAAAAAAGCTTTCATATGCGTAAATTACAAACAAATTTACACATAAAACAGAATGAAAAAAATAACAAGACACATCGATTCGAGAGACAAAACCAAAGACAAATGAAATTCAAATAAAGAAATGTCGCTTTGCAGTTTATTTGTACACTATCAGTGCAACCGGGAGCCGAATGGAAGATGCAATGAAACATCCTTGCAATTCAAAATTCTCATTCGAGCAAAAAACAAATGCAAGTAATTCGTGTTTGATTGCTCCATCGTGGCTCCACATCGCACAAACAGAAGCGTGAAACAAATGACTAACAAATTTGGTAAAGCTAAAATGTGTCACAACACCAAACACCGATTTCATTTTTCTTTCTTTTTTTTTTGAATTGGAATGAAAATGACTGATAAGCAAAACTTAGAAACAACGCAAACAAAACAAAATTCAAAACGAATGGAAAAACCGAAAACAATTCCCTATCCAGGTTCGTTTTTTTTCCTGTCATATGTTCTTTTGTAATTTTTTTGTTGTTGTTGTTGATTTGATTGTTTTTTTTTTTTGGTTTTTGTAACGGGAGAGTAAATTTGATCTAATTGGAATTACTTACTTCTCGCAGTTTTCTTGTCCTGATTTGTGACCTTTTGTGAATCGTTAAATATAATAGTCGATGCAGTCATTGGGTCGAATGTACCCATCACAATAGCCGATTGAGGTCTCTGTTTTGTGGTTTTTGAGGGGATTCTCTGATTGGGATTTGATGGATCAACGGGTATTGTGTTTTGGGATGGTGATGAGAGTTTTTGTGTATTGTTTGGCGCAAAATTTTGAGTTTGATGAGAGCCAGGAGTAGTTGAATGAGCTCTACCGGTAGGCGGTAGGGAACTACTTTTAGAGCGATAATGATTGGATGTGGAAAGGGTTGCTAGAAATATTTTCAGAAATTAATGTAATTCATCTACCAATACAAACATAAATATTAAGTTGTTGTTGTTGTTTTTGAAACATTTTTTTTCTTTTCACTACAAAAAAAAATGGAAATTTAATTTGATCAGCCTGTTTAGCGTGTTGAATGTGTGTCGAATTAAACTTCCATTTGGTATATTTCTCATTTTCGTTGCTTATCTGTTTTAATTTTCTATTCTTTTTTTTTCACTTGGAACAAATGGGTTGGTATTTAGGTCATTTTAAAACAATTACTATGGGCTAAAACTTTTGTATGAATGTTGTAAAAAAGCATTTGAGACGGAATTTACACGAATTGCCAAACACTTTGAAGAGCTTCGGCTGAATGCTTAATTGAATGTATCGAATGTTAACCAATCGGTTCAAAGCTATTATTTTGGAAAATAGAAAACATTTTGATTTACCCAATATTTATTCCAATTTATTTGTCGAAAAATAAACGATACCCGATGATTTGTTTTTCTTTTCGTCTCTGTTCGGTGTTCAGCTCTTCTTAAGTAAAATCCAATTTAGTGGATTCACGTAAAATGTAAATATTAGTTTTACTTGATAAATTGATCCAATTTACAACTGAAAGCGAAGTAGAATTCAACAGGAAAGAATATTTACATAAAAGAATTCAAAAGTTTTAGCCCAAATTCGGAAAGCCCGAATGTGTATGTATGTGGTGAGCGTGTGTGCGCTCGTGTGTAGCACACTATATTACCAAAATTTTTTTATACACAAATAGTATTTACAAACAATTTGACATTGCTTTATGACCACACCAATTAACCTTTTCACATTTGCTAAATGATTTCATTTGGCACTTTTTGCGTGCACAGCGATTCGAACGAAAACGAAAAATCCAATTTCAATTATTGATCTAATTCAAGTAAATATATCGAATGCACATAGATATTTATATATAAAATAAAATGAAAATGGAACACAAATCGTTCTGAATATGCTAAAACATTGATTTTAAATATGGCGTCTAGTCTGCGACTATTTGAACCCTAAGTTATTATCATTGTTTGCTGCCATAATTAATAAATTTTTAATTGGTCGAAATCATGCGTTTCGTAGCATGCTCTGCATATCAAATAGTAATTAATACACAGATAAATGCACACATTTTTGTTTTGTTTTTTTCATTTCAACAGTATATGAATGGCCCAATAACTACGAACAATTTGTTTTCTTCAAATATAAATGACGGCAAACACAGTGTATGCTCGTGTACGAATATTTAAATTGAAAAAGTTCAAGTTTTGGCTGCAATATGCAATGAGTAAGTTTGTCAATGCGATTGTTAAACCAGAGCAACCAAAGTGAGAAAGAGAGATAAAGAAAAAAAAATTAGCATTGAATGCAGAAAAGTTCAAGTGAATTTTTTCCCATTTTAATAAATGTTAATGAGATAATGCTGTAGAACGTTTAAAACTCTTTGTATTTGACAAACTATTTATGTGTTTTTTTCTCGATGTATTTAATGTTGAGGGTCGAAAATTTTGGAACTTAATGCCCAAAAAGCGAATAAGCCGTTTTGTTTTTAATGGAAATTTCTATTCGAAAATTGTACACAATGTCTATGAAGATGCTAATACAGTAGACTTTCGGAATCATCAAGTTTTCGACCATCATTAAACGCATTTAAGCGTTTTTTTTTCTTCTTCTCCTTAGCAGCGTTCGCATATTTCATGTCATTCAAAGTTACATATAGCCCAGAATACAGAAAACATTTCGTTTTTTTTTTTGCCTTATGCCAACATGTTGTTCTACGGGTCTTATAATATAAACATATGATGCGACATAAATATTAATAGATATGTATATATCAATCAATCATTTAAAAAAAACGAATAAATTAAGCAACCCATACCAATTACTTTCCAAGATGCAGAGCAAACTTATCGTTTAAGATAATGAAAATAAAAACAAACAAACAGAAAAATCCTGCGTTTGATGTTCAAAGAGATTACTCAACAGTTTGTTTTGAATAGAGTATTTTTTTTTGTGGTTGTACGCGGTTAGATCCGAGCATCTACTGTATATATTCATACATGTTTGTGTCATTCATATAAGAAAATAAATTGGTCTGTACGAGTAATTATTGTTAAAAGTGTGGATTAATTAAAGAATTTCGTTATGACAAAATGAAAAGAGAATGTATTGTAAGCGTGTTAAGTGTCTGAAAGAAAGTATTTATCCACATTGTTGGATAGAATGCCAGTGTCTGTGTTGGGATATTTATATTTATATAATAATGATTCAGCCAATTCGATCGTTTTGTTGTTTTTTTTTTCGTTTATTTTCGATTGTGACATTTGTGCGGAGATGACTTACTTGGTCGAGGGCGTCGTTCCACTATTGTTGGTGTAGAAATGGGAGTTTTCTTGGCTACTTTGGTGCTAGCAGTGGTGGCTGGTGCAGCGCTACTTGATCGAACCTGTCGCTTTGGAGAACCATCGACATTGGGCCCAACCGATTGCGATCGATCTGCTACATTGGGAAAAATGATGAAATTGTTTTTTTTTATGTATTTCATTTACTAGCCTCGAAGCAACCGCTACTTATTATTCAATTCATTCGAATTGGGCACTTACTTTGTTTTATTGTCTTCTTCTGCATCTTCTGGGGCGATCCTTTTTGTGGGCTTCCATGACGCGATATAGCACTCTTTTTCGGGCTGCCGCGTTGCGAATTGTAGCTTTCATCATCTTTTGATTTTGGAATTGTTGGCATAAGCTTATCGCGTGTTGGTGATGGCAAAAGTGCACCATCCTCCATGTCTGAAACCATTTCAAGTGTCAATTAACATGCACAACAGAATGAGAAGGTAACGCATATGGAAAACGAAAGAAGAAGAAAAAAAAACACTCACCCAATCCGGTGGTGCGTCCCAAATGATGACGAATATAAAGAGCACGAGCTGGTATTGCGGCATCGTGAATCAATTTATTGTCAATGAAATGAATTTGGCTCACATTTTTGACCGAAACATTTTTGATGGGTGATTTGGCCGAAACATTCTTGTTGTTGGCCGCTTCCTTTTCTTCCTTGGTGATTGGTTTATGTACGGCAGATGCCAACGATAGTGCCGATAAGGAGCTACGGCGCGAGACCTGATCCCATAAATCTTTTTGCTTTTTATAAAGATCTGGATTGATTTCGGTACCCCAGCCACGATTCTAAATCCATGAAAATAAACGTACCAACGAATGAATAACCTTTTTCAAATGAGTTATCATGAATAATTTCGTGGCAATAATACACACACACTCGTGCATAACAAACCTTATACTCTTCCGCTTTTTTACGCAATTCAACCACATCACGGTACCATGTTTGTGCTACGTGTCCACCATTGAATAAAGTCTTGTTATCAATTTTATTTTCATCGTCGCCAGCAAAGCCAAAGTTCTCCTTTTCGGTACGGCCATGCTTAAACTTGGTATCGTATGCATACTGCGAAAATGGTCGTACCGATTTCTTGGCTGGAAATTCGCTTTTCCTACATAATACAAGCAAATAATTAGTTGAAATGTTACGCATTGTGATCGGTTTAGATAAAGGTATGTAAAAAAAAGTAAATGATGCATACTTTTCGGGTTTCTCTTCGGGACACAACGGTTCCAGCTCTTGCGTGGATGCTGTTAAAATAATGGGAAAAAAAACACACACATACATTCATGAATATCGACCGTTTCATTTTGCTCATTGTCTTTTGCAAACATTTGTTATTGATCAAAGCTAAAGTTTAACTATTATTATTATCATTGCTAGAAATCTATTTACAAATAAAAACTTCAAAAAACCAACCAAAGAACAAATATACGTGAGTCACTGTATTTATAATAATAGTATTAGTGTGAACGACAAACGAAAATAGCGTTAGAAATGAACGGAAAAACAAAATAAAGAAAATTTTGGTACTTTGTATTGTGAACTATTGTCAAATGAAGTCACAGACAATGTAAAATAGTGGAACCAATTGCATGTAGTTAGTAATCGTCTTGTAGATCAGAGGCTTATATTGTTTTTAATAAAATATTTTATATATATATATATATACTTTTGATATAATATGTTTGCATGCAAGGAGACATAGTAAAGAAATATGTATTTATATATGTATGATTGGATAATAACATTCGAATATTTTCCCAGCAAAAAAAAGAAGAAGAAAATGTAATACCAATGCCTGCTTGCCTGCATGCACAAACTCTGTCGGCTTTTCGCCAAATCTGCCATTCATCTCTGATCGCTTTACCTCATTCGATCGAACAAAAGAAAAAATGAATGAATTTTGCTCTTGTTTTTGTACATTGAACCTTCGGATAGTGTTGAAAGTGTAATGAAATGCGTATTTGAATTCGATACATCACATTTCAATGAGTGTATACTATAAATGTGTGATTGGATCATAAGTAATGCATACACTCTCTGAGGAGAAGGTGATTTATTGAAAAGTGGGCGAAATCGAGAGGAGGAGAGAAGAAAAGTAGTAGCAATGCGCTATCATTTGAAATATTGATGCGGAAAATGTGCATGTTTGTGTAGAATATTATTGTTTTGCTCGACATTATAAATTGAACCAACAACAGAAAAGCTGCGAATGATTGGATTTGTTGTGTATTTAAAAGCTTTGCTGTGTTTTTTTTTACATTGAATTCGTTTTTTCTGTTTCAATTTTGTGTTGTGTTCGTGGTAGTTTCGTGTTGTCTTTTCCGACCAACAGAACATGTGTGTATGCTATTTACTTTTGTTTTTATTTGCAGCGATTCCAGTCTGAAATTTGCAAAAGCAAGATTCAGTATTGGCGTTAACACATGCTAAAAATTGACAAATGTCATGCACATGATTCGGTTTGTATGCGAAACATAGAGAGAGAGGAGAGAGGAGTGAGAGAAAGAGAGCGTGTGAAAGTTGACAAAGAAAAGAAAAACGAGCAGAGAGAAAGAGATAAAGAGAGAGAGAGAGAGCAGGGAATGAGACGAAAAGATATATTAATGCACTGAAAGATATGTATGGCTGTTGTATTTTATGATATAAAAATAGAAGAGGGGAACGTAACCATGCAATCCTTATTTCATACTCATAGTTCTATATTCAGTGGAACATAATCCAAACAGAAGAGAGAAAGAGAGAGAGACATAGCTTTTGACATGTAAATGACTTTTAAGTGTTTTTTTTTTGTTCTGATGAAAGTTAAATGTGGGTTAATTTTGGTTGTTACTGGTTATTGGTACATCAATCAAATCAAACTGTGTAACAATAACAAGGAAAATATAGTGTAGTTTATGAATGATATATGTAAATTGATTTTAAAAACATTAAACAATATCAAAAATGAATAAAACCTTTGAGCTACGCATTTCGATAAAAACGATTTCGATACAGAAAACGGTCTCTTTTTTCGTTTTGCTTTTTCATGGTAATTTTTTCTTTGTTTCAAGTGATAAAAGTAAAATTCACGTATAAAATCAATTTGGGGTTTCTTTTTTTAGTAATCGTTTTTTTTCTTCTAAGAGTGAAAATACTTTCAGATGCAAGAATTTCATCTGAAAGGGGAACAAAAGAGTAGAAATTCCCGATCACAATTGTTGTTGTCAAATTTTTTTTTTCTTTCTAGTGGAAATAAAATGTCGTTTTTCAATTGGGTTCGAACGTAAAAAAAATCGAATTTTCAAATTGGAAACGGAAATCATACGAAATCATTTAAAAAAAACAAATGAAGAGAAACGAAAACCGTAATTTAATAAAAAAATCAAAAACCAAATAAAAGCGACGTTAAGTCGCACCTTCTTTTTCGTAGATTGTTCGCTTTTTATGTACGGTAGGCATCGCATTTGAGTGTGCTGCCTTAATAGCACCCATTGATAAGGATTTTTTCGGAATATCGATTTCGTCATCGCCTCTCTTTCGATCTTTTCGCGTGTGCGGCCAAATGAATTGTATTCGATATTCTGTGCTCAATTTTGATATTGTTTTTCTGAAAAGTCCGTTAGACTCACCCGCCTGCAAATAAAATGTTGGAAAGAAAATTAAAATGATGATCACACTTTGAGATACAACTAACTAAGCTAATCTATATTTCTTTTTTGTTCATGGAAATGAATAAAACGAAATCGATCAGATTTATCATGTTGGTATTTAGAGAAAAAAAATTGTTGTTATTTCATGAGAATTTATTAGCATAAGTGTTTTCTTTTGTTTGGTTCAGTTTATGCAGAGAAGTGCATGCCTGGATTGGCGCCTGGATTTTTCAGAAAATCATTTTGAATGAAATGTGTAAAATGTATGGTAATCGATTGGTTATTGCGATTGCATACCTTACTTCCTGTTTTCGGATGACCATTTGGCTTATCCACCGTATCGCCAATGGGATAAGCTTCACCATTCGGAATTCGATAGGGACCTTCTGACTTACTTCTTCGTGACGGTGTTCCTCCTCGCTCTTCCGACTACAAATATAACAACGATTCAGTACTTTGCGTTCCATCGTAAAGCTTCGATTTGTTCTAAACAAGACAAATGTCCACTTGAATTTGGAACACAGTTTTGTTGTAGTACAATGTGGAGTACCATTCGGTGTGCGTTTTCATTAGATTTTCGTTCACGCTTTCCGATTCAACTCATAATGATTTTTTGAAAAGTGAAAATACACAACGCAAGAGCAAAAAAGAAAGACAGAGAAAAAACGACAACGATTGTTACGGTCAGTTGAGTGACCGCATCACACTTACCCTTGCCCGGCCGCTATACGTGCTGGCGTTTATATCATTTTTGGTTCTTGTCTCACCAGTTATGAATTCATGAGTTCTATATGCTAATTCAGGACACTTTTTACGTCTTGGCAATGGAGGTTCGTTGATTACACCTGGAACGGGAATGAATGAATGAAACCAGCAACAACGGTAATTAATCAATAAGAATGAACAAGTTGAAGTGGATTAGTTTTGTTGTTGGTGTTGCGTGGAATGGTTGTAATGAACAGTCACGAAGAGTGAAATAGAGAGAGAGAGAGAGAGAGAGAGAGAGAGAGGGAGAGAGAGAGAGAGACAGAATGAAAGGAAGCATTTACACGATTTGCAGCTTTTCTGCGGCGCGTTTAAAGTAATGCGAACAAAAGTAAAATCAGAGAGAGAGAGAGAGAGAGAGAGAGATAGCCGACTCCAATTCGAAACCATAAATATTTACGATTTTTGTTGTTGCTGCTGTTGCTGTTGTTCTCGTTTTATTTGAGCAACGCAAAGATTTCAACATTTTCAATGGAAAATAGGGTTTCCATTCAATTATTTAGCATGGATTCTTAGATATAAAATTTAGTATTAACAAGCTTGTTATGGGCGAGTATGTGTATAATATATACATCGGTGCATTGAATTTCTTGCGAATGTACTGCCATTCGGAGGTTTATTCTTATTTTCGCAAGAAATACTTCCACCACCTTGAGCACCAATATCATTTCGTATGTAATCAAATATGCGATAGTCTTTTTATGTGCAATGTTCATAGGAGGAAAAAAAATGACATCTAGTAAAAATGTTGCGCGATAATGATGATCGATTTTGATTTTGGCTGTTTCATTTTTTGTACGGATTAAAATCACCTTCAACATGACGCTCTTCCTCCGTCGACTTGGAGAAAAAATGATCTGCAGAGCTGGCTGTTAATCGGTGCATGTTATCGATTCACAAATAAGGTAAAAATGGTTATAAATTAAAAAATAACCTTGATTTCAATCAAGAAATAATGCGATAATGAACTCCATATCGCAAAGTGGGAAATTTGACGTGAACAAAAATTCCGAACTATTTTCAATTTTCGAAAATTTTCAACAAAGAAACAAATTGATCCGGATTTAAATTTGTGTCTGTATTGCTTGTTGTCAAAGCCATCAAAAATCCCACAAAACATCGACAATCCATCGAATGTAAAGAAGAGAAGAAATAAGAAGAAAAACACAAGGGAGAAACACATTAATTATTAACTTACCAAATTGATTAGTTGCTGGCGGCTTTTTAATGACTTCCGCTCGATTGTTACCTGTATACTCATGCCAACGATAAGTACTACGGTATTCCGAATGGAGCTGAAAGACAAAGACAAAGAGAGAGAATTTTGAATGAATGAATGAATGAACGAGGAGAAAAAAATTGAATGAAAATCAAACACAAATTGAATGTGTCACTTTTAAATGGTTCTAATCGAATTTAATTCCACCAAAAGTGGATGAAATAGACTGGAATGAAATAAAAATCAAAGGATGGAAAATGAAATGAAGAAAGTACTTGGCGGTGCTCGTTTTATTTTCTGTGGAAAATTTTATAAAGTTACTTCGCCATTCCGGTCGATAGTTCCGTTCTGAATGGGATACATGCATTTCCTGCGTCCTATGTTTATTTCATTTTCACCTATTCGCCCCGAATAAACACATACACACACCGACACATACAGAGAGGTAAACCATACGCCGCACATTTCGAAGCGGCAATTTATGTAAATGGCCCGTCGAATATAAACACGAAATACCACATGAAATGCAGTCCTTTCAATTAATTTTCATGCTTAACACACATATACACATACACATACATACAGCCCGTGTGCTTAGCGTATGTATGCCTTCGTTTTGAGATAACTTATGGTTGCCTTTGCCATAATCATTAATGGAAGTTTATTTGGTTTGTCCTCGTAATGCGGTATTTTTTTTTATGGCTAGTTTATTTTTTCCCGCGATACACGCCGCTGTTGTATTTTATTTCATGCATTACATCATTTTGCTTTCCCCACACCATTCACACAACGGCGAAACGGAAAGAAATCGTTTCACGATTCTCGACGCTGACATGGAGACTAATTGGCGAGACATCAATCAATCCCATGCGGATGAAGTAGTGAAAAATTAATCAAAACGATTGATATATTTCGATGCAATGAACAATAAAAAAAGAATTAAATTGGTTTCATTGCAAAATTGACGTATGAATTGTTGTAATTGGCCCCACGGAAATGGCAACGACCAATTCAGGCAAATTATATTCCGCAACACATTAGATCATCGACCGGATTGGCATATAAACTTTGTCAAGCCTCCAAAAAAAATTGAAAACGAACGAGAGAGAGAGAGAAAGAGACGCTTAAGGGACAACGGCAATTTGTTGCAACAAATCGATTTGTTGTTGCCTCATCGAGATAGCCCTCAACATACGACAAACATACTAAATGAATTGCGAAATAGAACCTTATTTTGCTCAAATAATAATTTTAGATTTATGGATTTTACAGACATTAATTTGAATGACTCTTCTGTTTTTTTTTTTCTTTTACCCGAAATAATTCTGCCAACATTGAAAATAACATATGGCGAAATCAAACTAACACGAAAAACGACCAGAAACACAATTGCCTGCCAGGGGCAACGCTCAGTTCTATTCCTGATTCTAGGTTCTATTTTCAAGGGTTCTTACATATTAACGCGCTGTCTATTTCTAATTTAGTTACAAGTCGTCATCAAACTTCCTATTTATGGACATGAATAATGAAAATCGGCAAACAAAGCAAATGGAAATGAAAATGCAAAGCAAAGAAAGGAACAAAGAAAGAACAAAAGGCAATGAACTTCCGTTCAAGAAAAATGCTGCGGTTACCTTGTCTTCAGGCATCGATGGGCACGCTCTACACAAATTCCAAAATGATCCAATCATAAGGATGTTTTATTTTCACTATATCACTCACACACAAATATAAATAATTTAATTTTTTTTCTTCTAATTGATGTGAAAATTTAAAAAAAAACAAACGACGATTTAGGCGTTACAAACAACAACTTTGGAATTCTATTTAGACTTTTTCCTTATGCATACAAAATTTTTATTTTCTCCTGGTATATATATTCAAGGCGTTCACGGATCGTAACTGTGTGTTCTGTAAAATAAAATAAAAAGAAGAGAAAAAATCTAGTTGATTATGTTTCCTTGAGCACACGAAATATAAGAGTGGAGCCGGTTCAATGTAAAAAAAAAAAAAAATATCGATATTCGTAGTAATACTCTGGTCAATTTCTCTTTCTGTCGGACAAGAAATTTTTCCAAACGAAAAATTCACACCGTGAACAATGTTTTTCCAGTCCCGGAATCGGATTGAGCACACGATTCACTGAATATTCCGCGGAAAATTTTCGAATTTATCCGAAATGTGGAAATTTCCCAAAAAATTTCATATTGAATTCGATAAATGACAACGAAAATATAAAACCCCAAAGAAAGAATCGTTCACCGAGTAAATTATTTTACGTCTGACCTTTTGTGAAAAGTCTATTTGTTTGAAAATAGGGGAAATCAATATTTGTGACTTTTATCGAGGGTAGTTTCACGACGAGTAGCGGTTATTTTTTTGTATGCGTATGCGTACAGAGCAGTGTTTGGTGGAAAATGACATTTTCCAAATGGTTTATCGATAGCCAGCTGTCGCCTCTTTTCCTACTCAATATTACACATCATGTCTGCAAATTGCCACACCAAATACACGGCTCTCAATCCACTGATTTTTTTTCGGTTGTCATTTTGACCAATTTTGACCACAAAAATTGGAATTTTTCATTAAAATTTCGATAAATTTTATGATGAATCTAAACCCCGCTTTTCCGCATTTTCCACGTATAGAGTCGATGCAGCTTTCGAAAATCGAACGCTCTCTCGTTTTTACAATCGATTTTATGTAAACAGCTGATAAATTTAATGGCCCCGAGATGTCGCTAGCAACAAATTGCAAACCAAATACATTGATTGACCAAAATTCCATTCAAATATTCGATTTTTTTCTCTAGAATATTAGAAATAAAACTATTTCCATTCCATTCAATTCATTCAAGTTTTGATGCAGTAAAAAATCGACGAAATGAACATTTCTTGAGAATTCGCATTGAATAAGGTTGTGACCGTTTGTGCGCTATGTATACACAACACAATTTCGAACTGTCAAACTTTTATAACACACAAAAACAAAACACAAACCAACTGGCAGTGCCAGTGTGTATTTTGTCATCATCAAATCAAAATAAATGCATAAACCACTTGAAGCATTTCGGCGAGCGTTTGTTGGCTTTTAAATTTTTATTTTCTTTTTACTTGTAAATAGCTTACAAAAAGCCACATACACGAGCGCGTACACACAACTATGTCGAAACGCTGCTGTGCTGAAATGTGTTTCAATTCGCAGACGATAAACAAAAATGTTTCCTACTTTGGTTTCCCCAAATACGAAGAATTGTAAGTAACCGATAATTTTCAATGGAAATGCATTCGCAGAAGAAAATCTCTCTTAATCAAATGTTGGAACATTCATTTACAGTGCTGTTAAATGGGCGAATGCCGCCAATCGAGCTGATCTCCTTGAGAAAAAACTGAGCTGTATCACCAAGTACTATTTATGTTCAGAGCATTTCAGCGATGACTGTTTCATCGATCCACCACAAAATACACGTCTGAAAAAGACATTTTATCCCCTCAGTATACCCGTGCCAACGATATTCAAGTCTAACATTGAAAAGTATATTCCGATCGTAAAGAGGAATGCTAGTGGCATTGAGTCTTTTGCCGAAGATATGGAACGATCAAAGCGAACACCAAACTATGGACCAATCAATGATTTCTCACTGATGAACCGAAGTTCCAAAGAGGGCATATCAATGGAAAGTCTATCGGTGTTTCATGATCATTACAATTACCCGGACATATCCGGTTCGGCATCGTTTTTCAATGACATTGCGGTCAGTATAAATGATTTTTCCAACGAGAACTCATTTGATAACATCGCTGACTGCCCATTACCCGATATAACCGAAGAGATTCAGCACTCGTTTCTGTTGTGCAGACTATGCGCAAAAACATTCTCATCCGGTGAGCATCTCAAAGAATTTTCTACAGAACCAGGCATATACGAAACACTGGACACCATCTTACCAAATCAAGTGAGTCAATTGATAACGGCTCATATGAATGTCGCGTATATTGAAAACTATGAACTAATGAAAAACTAACGTTTTTTTTTCTCTTTCTCTCTCCATTTTCCAGATAAAAAGTGACGATAATCTATCTCAATTAGCTTGTACAAATTGCCTAGACAAATTGAATACGTGTATAAATATAATAAATTCATTCAAAGAGGCTCAATTACAAATACAGATCGGAATCAATTGAATTCCATCCACGAAACTGAATACAGATTTATTTTTTGAATAAAAAAAAAACGGAAAACGAAAAAAAATCGTTTTATTTTGATCAAAAAGAGTTTTTCGATGTTTTGCATTCGTATTAACAGAGTTCGTTCGAATAACAAATCTCAAATGCAGTGTGTATGCTGTTCGAAAAAAATTCGAACGTCGAAAAAAATTCGAACGTCGAAAAACAAAAATTGGTTTCGTTGTTATGACTTTCGAACATCGAATTCGATGTTACATTTTGACACATCCCAGTGGCAAGCGAAATTTGTACATACTTGCATTTCTCATTTGATTTTTTTTGGAATTTCTTTTTATTTGTAATAATATTTGATTGTTTTTGTCGGATTCACGACTAAAACATTTTGCTAGCCGTCGATTTGTGTGGTCAATGCAACAATTTCGGGAGTAGATTCATTGTGTCGGTCATTTGAATGGGAAAATAGCAAAAATACAATTAACAAATAATGGAATTACATAGACTAGATTAGAACATAACAAATGAGTGCAATGCAAAAGACAAGCAGTTATGGAAGGCCGAGGAACACTTTTTCGTGAAATTCACAAAAACACATGGTTGAAGCGAGTGATTGCTGACAATCGAAAGATTCCCGTTGGCATTAAGGTATTTTTACTTCCGTTCGCTCGTTTCTTTCCCTTTTCCCTCTTCTTCTTCTTCTTCTTTTTCTACCTATTCCAATTTAGTAAATAAATTGAGTCATGCACACGATTTCATGATTTGGTGTGTGATGTAAGGCGTTGCAATTATGAAATTTAAACATTTCGCAATGGCAATTATTCAAAATGTAAACAAAAAAACAAAGGCACATCGAACGTTTTGAATTGCAACAAATTCGCATGCTATAATTTTTATATTAAAAAAATAAAATAAACCGAAATAATTCGGTCGATTGGAGAGCTATTACAGGCAGTCAGTGTATCTAATGTGTAGTAAATTTTCTCTTTTTTTTTCTTTTCTTCCATTTTTGCTTTGTTTGGCGTGTAGAAACCCGAGAAATATTGGGTAGTTTTTTGCGTTCACGATGATGCCGAAGGTAATTGACGCAATGAATTTTTATTTCAATTCTATGTTTTAAATTGCTAACAAAATATGCATTTATGATCGGTGTAGCATTGTTGGAAGGTTATGCGGAGCCAAGAGCCGCTGCTTCGCATTCGCCCGACTGGACGGTATCGCTACAAACTACAATTCATATCACACAAACGTTAGTGCCATCCGAAAATGAGTACGAATTTGTAATTGCGCTCGCCGGCGAGACACTTCGATTCAACGCATCTTCATGGTAAGCCCTTCACTTTGATTGAGATTTTGTATTGTTCACCGTGGCTAATCATGCATTTTAACATTGTCATTGAAAAAAAACAACAGGGAAATAATGCAGGAATGGGTGGATACGTTGCGCTTGAAATTGCGCGAAATGAAAATTTTGTCGCCGAAAGAGAATCTGTATAGTAAACTGCCCGAAGTTCGACAACCTCTGCTGCCAACAAGAGATCCGACCAGAGATCCGCTACCTGCCACACCACCTGTGCCAGCCGCCCTCGTACCAGGAGTGGAGCGAATTGTAAATACAACACAAACTAGTCGAACTACAGCTTTGCCTATGGCCGTCACCGCATCCAGTACGTCTTTGAACAGCAACGCTTTGCATGTGGCTGGCAGTCAACCATCGCAGCCAATTGCAAGCACCGCCGAAGCAAGCGAACGAAATCAAAATCGTCGAAATACACCGCCGTTACGAAACCCACTCGAAAACGAGAACGATGAAGGCAGTGAAGATGGTTTCGCCGTTGAGACGGCAAACACTACGTCCACACCATTGTCGTCGACATCAAACACACTTTCACAGAATTTGATCAAAATGCTGTATCCGCTCCCAAATTTCAGCCATCCAACCAACGATACCATTGTTTTGCCGAACGATTTGGAAAGCGACGAATCATTTGTTTCCGAAAATGTAACACCCGAAAACATCAGCGCAACAAATAATGATGAGGCAACGGATGAAAACCTACACTCTTTGGCACGTACATTCGCTGCTAACGTTTTATTCGATCCAAACACTAGCTCAAGCTCGAAACGAAGTCAAAATTCTGCATCCAATTCGACCGCAACACAATCTGCTGCGCTGCCCAAAAACAATCGTGATGTGGCCGAAGGTAATTGATGCAATGAATTTCATATCAATTTTATGTTTCAAATTTCTAACCAAATATGCATTCACTTCGTAGACTCGATCAGTGTCGATTCATCCGTTTATGAAACATATCCAACACCTGAACCAATCGTCATTCCGAGGTAAGTTTTGATCTTTAGCTCAACTTTAGTTTTAATGCTATGTTCACTCATAAACGAAATTAACCATTCCGTATTTTTCAGGCCGCACACAACACGCGGTTCGACTGCAAAGCCGAAGAAGGTTGAACCGACTGAAACTCAACCGAACGATGCTTCGGCTGATGCTGGTCCAACAAACATAACAATAATTCAAGTATCCAGTGCAAGTGTGAAGGAGAAATTGAATGCACAAAATGAATGTGTTGAGAAACCTGAACTAAACTACATGAATAACGTCCAAATTATACCGTCCAATTATGCACCGATCGATCAAAATGCCGTCACTACCGTTCAAGTAACGAATGAAACGAATACTCCAAGCCAAAATAAAGAACCAGCTGGATTAGCGTCGGCCAATAAAAGCATTATGCCCACGCCACTTGAGCCCCATGACGATGTGCAGACTCAGGCTGCACGTCAATTTGGTGCAGTGACGAATATATCGATTGGTGCCAATGAGAAACAAGCCTTTCAACCAGAGCAATTGCATTATGAGCAAGTGTTTATTACACACACGCCATCCGGAACGTCTATTTCAACTGGCGACACAGAGCCGAATGAAACTCAACCCAAGATAAATCGAATTAAAGTCGGTTCAGCCCAGAGGCTGACAGATGATCCAGAGATTCGTCCATCGACGTCGACATCAAGCACAGTAACATTCTCGGTGGCTGCTGCTGCCGCCTCCGCTGCCACTTCCGATGCAAACATATCAACTTCAGTAACAAAATCAAAAGACGCGACCAAGATTAGAAACGTATTAGAAAATAATCATGAAAATGATATGCTTTCATCGCGGCGACCGCTTTTATCAAGAGGTGTAACCGAAGCTGTCATTATGAGACCCAGTCGAAAAGATGTTAACATGCTACTGAATCGAATCAATCCCCAAGGAAATCATGTAAGTTGCTTCTGCTTTTTTTTTCTCGCTCAAGAATGTAATAGACGTATTTCAATATGTTCTTTGTGTTGCCTTGTTTGTCAGTGTTCGCCTTCTGAATTTCACACCAATTCACAACAACGTGATCCGGCCGAACAACGGAAACGCAGCTCATCCACATCTGATACACAAAGAAATCGAACTCGATCGAACAATAACAACGTGACTCCCAGTGGAAATGCTTACAACAATAACAACAGTGTGAACAATAATTCCGGTGCGGTTTGGTTTGGTTTTTTTTTTCTATTTCAAATTTTAAATGTCTGTTTTCGTAGGCCCTACTGACTTTATTTCTTTCCACTTCGATTCGCAGAGTTTCGTCGGCCAACGCCACAGCAACCGAATCAATCGTTTCGGCAACCAAATGTAGATATTTCGTTGCGTGCTTCGGGTCGATTAACGTTGCGCGAACAGCAAGTAATGCAATTGAGAAGGGAAATGATGCATCCGGGTGGAGTTCGAATTCAATTACGCAGAAAAGACTGTACTAGCTCAATTGCGTTCGTTGATGCGTTTGGTGCCGCTTGGTAAGTTAAAAAAAAAACACCATGCCATGACGAGGCAATTTCGTTTACATGTAAATGATAATGAATTGTGTGTTGCGCTTGCTTAGGATATCTGGTTGGAAACAGAAAGAGCACCCAATGCTGTATAATGCGCTGCATATCGGTGATCAAATCATATCAATTGGCGGTGTTACTGTCACCAATGCCAAAGAAGCGAACAAAATCATCAACAGTTCCACTGGACAATTTGTAAGTGTCTATTTCCTGGAATTGTTGACGATGTGAAACTAACGCATTTCGAATGCATGTCTTTAAACACACATTTTCAGATTGAGTTCATAATCAGACGTGTTCCATTCGGTCGAGTGTATGCGATTCGGAGAGAGATTGATCGACAATGCCTTGGTTTGATAAGAGATGGAAACACTGCTACTATAGTTGATGTTGTGCCAAACAGTTTGTCAGCAAGACATGGACTACCACCTAAGGTACGTATGCAATATTCGTTGAAATAAAACCAAATTCGCATTTGTATCATACACTTTTCAAATACTCAAAATAAATTTGTTTTGAATTTTGTTTCCAAAAAAAAAACGAACAGGCTCAATCATGTGATGGCCTTTCATTAACCTTCTGGGTTCTAACGGAGATCAACGGAAGGCCGCTCAATCTGTTTTTCAAGGAAAATGAAGTGAGGGATCGGCTAAATGCCGTTGGTCGTGACATTTCCATTTTGGTTCAGCCGTCCGATCTTATATCGAAACTGAAGAAACAATTGAAATCCTTGCGACATTTTAAGGAATACATAGTGCAATAAAATATCTAGAGATATGCATATAGTCTATAACATTTCCCTTGCATGTTATCATTTTCGAACGATAGGTCATGTTTTTTTTATATCCGCATACATAATAATATAATGAGCAAATCCAAGTAGTTTGTAATTAGCATTCCAATTTAAATGGCATCGTCAGAACTGGCAATGGCTATTCTTTCATTCCAATAAAATGTACCTCGTTGACTGTCACCAGCCAGCCGGTTGATATTATTTTCTAAAAAGAAAACGCGAAGTGAACTAATTAGATGCAGTCGAATGGACGGAATATCAATTTTTGAGTGGATTTTATACAATTTGCAAATGAAACAAAACAAAAAAAAAGGAAATACACAAAACACGATATTTTTATAGATACAATTTGGAAACGCTGGATCAATATTACTTTTGGACAAATATATATATACAGCACGCTAGTGTCGATTGAACGACTAACGGCGACGAGTTTTTCACGTACATTCATACATTTTAGATTTCGATACAGATTTAAGTCATTTAGTCACAAAATTGATTAGCGCATATATATATATACCTTTTTTCTGATGAACAGAACAGTTTTTCTTGTGTATAGGTAGGTAAAATTTTATGAAATGGTGAACTGACAAAGAGAGCGACGTGATTGAAAGATATAGCAAATTTTGTGATTTCTAGATTTTGTTTTATTTTTTTCCCATGCGTAAAATTATTGTATTTTTTCCTGTTTTTTTATTTCTTTCTATTTTCCTTCGGTCGTAAGTTATTAGTTTATTCCAATTTATTGATTGCTCCATTATTTAATTTATTGACAATATTAAATTCAAAATTCTTGATAATATAGGAAAAAAAATGTAAAGAATAAAAAAATAAAAATCTCAAACCAAAAATCTATGGCATTTCATTTTTTTCGTGTGATTGAGTCATTCAGAATGACTAAGAAAAGGAACAACATTTTCGCTGGGGCAGTATTCGATCAGTGATGTTAGTAGTGGTGGTGCCCACTGCCTCGTGACTCACTACATGGAGTATTTCTTACGAGATCATTTACATTTCCACGCCAAAGCCGGAAGTTGTATTCGTTCCAGTTCATTTGAGAATAGATCCACCTTGGCAATTCATTGGTGTACATCCATAAATTTCCGTCACGGTCGATCTGAAAGAAACGTTTCTACTTCAATTGCCCTCAACAACAAACCTCTTGCTTTAACTCACAGTTAGATCACTTGGATAAATCATGGTTCGATTGTTCCCGGTCAAAAAGTGGAAATTTTGCGGTGTATATGGTTTGTTTGAATTCCAACAGCCCACACCATTTCGATTGATTTGTGTGTAGAAAATGACTCCTGATCGATCAATATCATGCATTGATGACTGTGTGGCTGGTCCTCTCTGACCCAGGAACTGTTAATTAATTATTATCACATTCAAGATTTAAATTGAATTCGTTTGAAATTCAGCTTTGATTTTTTATTCGTCAAGAAATATTGAACAAAAGATAAAACACAAGAAAAGTTGTACCTGGAAATCGATTCCATGATTTGAACGTCCTGCGTTTTGTTCATTCTGCAAGACTTTTGTTGATACTGCAAATTCGGAAGTACTGTAAAAACCAACAAAGAAAAATTAAATTTTACTGTGGGAGTAAAGTGAAAAAAAACTGGTCGTTACCTCGCCATTGGGTGGAAGAATGCGGTACGATAGCCGTCGGATTTTCGGTTGCCTAATGTAATTGAAAAAATACCATCGTTCCATTGGAAGGGAATGCCATCAATACTGAAATCACCTTGCAATGGATCAAAATGGAAATAGTTGTGGTGGAAGCTCCAGATACGATTTTGGCTCAAACTGAAAAGATAATGGTATTGATACTGTTATCATATTTGTTTTTTTTTTCATATTTGAATAGTAAAATTGAGTTTCGTTATCGTATCAAACCTGTAAACATATAAGCGATATTGAGCCAAATCGGGAATATATGCATAGGCATTTTGACAGTTGTTTGGATCGACATCAATGGTGATACTGGCCAAGCCATTTCCTCTATCCACTATACTTTGCGGAATTTCAAAGCGATGAACAACGACATCTCTTTCCAGATCATAAGCCCAAATCGAAGGTCTTTGAACTTGGGTCGCGTTATCTAAAACAAATGCGGTGCTAAATCACATCGGATGTAAATTTATTCAAATCTTCTACTCACTTGGATACTCAAGTAAACCTGTTGAAATTTAAATTTATTTCAGTAAATCGGTCATTAGTGTCATATCACTGCTATCTATACTTTAATTCGATTTTAATATATTACTTACCAGTATCAATCCACCAGAGCCGGTTGCAATCATCTACACGTGTTCGATAAACTGAAATAATTCGATTTGGATCCGCTTGCTGATTTGGCTGTGAGCAGATTAAATAGTTTCAATCAAAGTTTGAAAAAAAAACTATATGCAATTGTGGATATGAATTGAGGTAGTTACATGTAAATGATTCATTTCAATGCTTGGAAATGGCTTATAGCTTGGGCTAGATCCTTTGGCCAATTTTGTGGACACGAAGTTAAGTGTTGAAGGAACGCCGACGCGACGCCGAGGAACAGTTAAAAAGACTCTGCCCTTGTAGTGAGAGGCCCCAATTGGTATGTTATTCTGGGCGATATAATTCTGGGAATTTGGTCGGTTATTTTGCTGAGTGTTTTGTTGTGGATTAAATTGGCCATTAAATTGACCATTCATCATCGTCTGGTCACCATACTGTGGATTGTATTGCCGTTGAACTCTGCCTTGTTCTCGATTCGTTCTAGCTTCAGAATCGGGAAACAGAATATCGTCTGGATCTGGAATGGTTCAAGATTATGTGTATGTAAAAAAAAGAGAATGAACAAAGTAATTGTGCCGATTTCATGACCCAATTTGATGAGTGTAGGGAAAAAGTGTGAAATCAGCGTATTTTTCTGGCGACAAACTGTGGTCAAAAATAAATTAATGTTGTTTTTTTCTTATTTGAATGACAATTTTTATTTTTCGTTTTAATCTGTTTATGACTCATCTTTCTGTATGAAGCTGATTATTGAAGAACACTTTGAATGAGGGGTCTTAAACCGGTTTAACAAAAAAAAAATAAAGTACATTTACTACAGTTTATTTGAAGATGCTTCACTTCACAAAAACAAAACACTTTTGAAAACAAAACATAATCTTTAAACTCATTTTTTGTGTTTCTTCCATAAATTGCAGTCATAAACGAATCAAACCTTCACCTATGAACGTTTCCGGTTTGGACTAAAACCGCGATGACCAATAAAGCAAAGCTTCCTCATTGCTATTAAAAATAGAAATTTTTTTTTGCTTATTATTACCCACAATTACCTTGATCAATCGACGCAAAAGCAATTTGCTTCCATTTGAAGTATTCTTCTAATTCACAATCAGCAAAAGTCACGGCACTGATAATAACAATTAACAAAGTGATAGAAAATCGTAGTGAACCCATTTTGACTGGTGGCGGTTGACCGCTCAACTGATGTGAATTTAGGATTTTGAATGGTTTTTAAACCTTGATGCAAATTCTGTATCGCGCACGCCAAGTGCTTTTATAAGTGTGAGTGGTTGTGACAGTGGCCATAGTACACACACGTAGCACGCTGAGCTGCAGAATTGAACAAGTTCAATTAGTCGATGATTATTTTGAATGACATGGAGCATATCAGTTATCAAAGTTGTTTTCGGCGAATGAATCAGACGTAATCGACTTTGCAGCTGAGTAATAAACAGATGATAGGAGATCACTTCAAGTGATTTATTTCTCATTTTCAAGCTGAAAATACTTGTTTTTGGTTTGTTTTACACCATAGAGATAACCGAAGAATTTTGTTTACATAAGCTCCGAAATACACATTTGAACTGTCCATTGATAAAGGATTAACCACAATATTTGAGTCGAAGAAAAAAAAAATCAACGCAACAACGATTTAATATTATTGGCACGGCTGAGTGCTTGAATACATTTTGTATAAGTATGAATATAGAATGTAAACAATGTGAGCAATTATCACAGCACCTAATTGGAAACAGTTTACAATATATTTATTTGCAGTTGTGCTTGTATTTGTATATTCACCAATGTGTGATATGAATGCAACAAAATGCTGGACAACAAAGAATATTAGCATTTCATGGTGTTGCTTGCTTAGCGCTTAAGTGGATGTGTCTATGATGTGTGTATGACTTTGTTTTTGCCTTTTTGTTATTTTTTTTTTCTTTTTCCCTTCAAGTGTGTTGTGCCTATCTTGACATCATTTATTCACCGCAAAGTGTTCCTGCAATCGCTCGTTCAACTGGGGCTTTCCAGATTCTATAATTAAATTCATTCGGATCAACTGATGCGTAGTTATAAAGTGGCAGACCGTTGGTCATCATCCAGATTATCCCATCAGAATCAATCTAGATTTGAGATCGGTTGTTGATATGTTTTGTTATAAATAATTTCCAAGTGGTCAAAAAAATTGAATTTTTATCAAATTGTGACATACATTTATGTCCGATGGATAGATCATGGTTGTGTTATCTTGTGCAATCAAGTGGAAATTATCTGGATTTAATGGCAGTGTTGTGTCCCAACAACCGACTCCATTCAATGCGACCTGCGAGTAGAATATTAGACCGGTGTTTTTGTCATACACGTGCATGGCCGATTGACCACGTTCATTTCTTTGACCAATGTACTAAAATTTAATGGAATAACAATTATCACCGTGTTATTTACATCTTTTTTCTCAACGAAAACTATTTTTTGGCAAGTTTATTCCCTTACTTTGAAGTCGCTACCATGACTTGATCGCGTGGACGCCGTTTGATTTTTGAGAACGGCAGTTGAAACTTCGAATTCAGACGTACTGTAAAAGTCAATGGACAAACAAATTCGTCGAATTTTATTAGCAAAGTGCAAAAAAAAAATTCACCTGGCCATGGCATGGAAGTAGGCTGTTTTGAATCCGTTAGCATTTCGTTCGCTCAATGCTATGGAAAAAATACCATCATTCCATTGGAATTGAACGCCGGCTACATTAAAGTCACCTCGAATGGGGTCGTAACCCAAATAATTATGTGTAAAAGACCAAAACTGATTGGAACGCAAACTGAAACAAATAAAAATAAAAATAAAACCAATTATTTGGTTGTTTGTTTGTTTCCGTCGTGCACGAATAGTTAAACAACTGAGTGTACCGTACCTATATACATGCAATCGATAATTCACGAGATCCGGTAAATATGCATAAGCATCATCACATCGATTGTCGTCAATATCAACTGTTAGCGAAGCTAGGCCATGACCTGCGATAACATTGGCCGTGGGTATTTCAAAGCGTCGTACCAGTAGGTCAGTGTTCAAATCGAATATCCATATTGATGGCGGTTGAACTTGGATTCTATTGTCCGGGTATTCTAATGCACCGGTGTCAACGAACCAAAGGCGATTACAAGCATCCACGCGTGATCGATACACTGAAACGATTCGATTACGATCGGGTTCATTTTGTGGCTGGAAAATTTAAAAAGATGTCAAATTTTACTATGATCTGATTTAACTGATTCACTCTCTGTTTCTTACATGCAATTCATTTGTTCTGAAATTCGGATATGCCTGTAATGATGGGCTCGATCCATGTGCTCCATTGGAACTTACATACGTAAGTGTAGCTGGCATGCCCAGTCGTCTTCGCGGCAATGTAATAAATATCCGATTTTTATGGTGCAACACACCCATCGGCATATTATTGTAGGCGATGTAATTCTCTCTGATATCACTTGCCGTTAAATCGTTTCTCCTTCTGTCTGGCAGACCGAATATTATGGAATCTATGGAAATAAGTGAGGTATGGCCATTTGATAGATATTTTTATTCGATTACCTACCATTATCAAGTGGTGTGTACGTCATTTGCTTCCATCGGTAGACCTCTTCAAAACGAGATTTTCCATAGTCCAGTGATGTGGTTTTTGGATACGGTTTCATCGAGTATGAACTTTGATGTTGATTCTGCAGCTGACTTTGGTATTTTCCAGGTGGCCTGTACGAGTTGTATGAGCCACCGTTTGCAGAAATGAAAACAGCAGCCACCGTTAAACTAAATAAAATTATTGCACTCATTGCCGATGCAGTTTCCACAGATGATTGAACACAAATGAATTCCTACAGCACTCCAGCACAGGTATTTAAAACGTTTACCGATTACTTCGACGATCGCCTATTCAATTCTGTTCTGACCTCTAATCCATGTGTTTATTTATTTTTAAATCAAACACAACGTACCGCATCGATGGAAACCTGAAGAAATAAAAACAGGAATTACCAGTGATTTGTTAAGAGAGCTTGCGTTCTTCATTCTCGGGTCGACTACATAGTTTGGTCTGTCTCTCCTTTTCTCTCTGCCTCTCTCAATCAGTTTTCCAATGAGCATACATTGTGTACGCACGTATCACCTCACCACTTACATACAGGGTGATAAAAAGTTCTTACAGTGTGAACGCATATAGTTATTTAAAGATCATTGCTCACGCTAAACGCTTGCACGCATCGTTCATGGTGCTCATTACCTCAATAAAGGTACATAATTATGGTTGATTCTGACAAGCGCTGAGAAAGAAGAAGATTGATTACACGACAAAAAGAATACCAATAGATTGGACAACAAAATGTGATTTATCATTTATATAAAAGAAGCATCGTTTCTAATGATTCATGTAATTGTAATTACTCGATTAATTTTCCTAAAACGTAGTAATTACAATTATTTTAGGTAGTGTTTATAATCAAAAGAAGATAAGAATATTTATTTGGTTTCAAACGCCTAATAATGGTTCTAAATTAGCGTTTATTTTCGTTGAACTATTCATTTGTTTCACCCGAATCTATGCCATTGTTTGATTGGACGTGCTGCCAAAAATGTCACATATATAATCTTTGAAGTGGCATTAATCATCTGAGCCCACATTTTTTCTTACTTATAAATTTGCACATAGCAGCATTGAATTAAATTAGCAATGTGTTAGAAGTCACAGAGAAATCACATAATACATGTCACAAATATATCCGACCGATAGAATAACAAATCATTTCAATTGACTGTATGGCAACTAACTCAGCAGCAATATATGTATATGTACGAAAGTGTATAAAGAAAAAAACGGGAATTTCCAGTAATTATCAAAACTGTTTATTTTTTTATCTTCCTGTCAACATCGTCTCACTTACGTACAACTGAATGGGCAAGCGGAATAATGAAACGTAATTCTGTTTTTAAATGAAGTGCCTCTGAGAAAAATTTTCAGTAAAAAAGCCCCACAAAAATATTGTCTGAATAAGATTTTCATACAAATTTTTATCAGACAATATTTTTGTGGGGCTTTTTAACTGAAAAATTTTCTCAGAGGCACTTCATTTGAAAACAGAATTACGTTTCATTATTCCGCTTGCCCATTCAACTGAGAGAATACATGTTTTAACTTAACATTTCAATTATTATTTGCCTATTTAAATTTAAAACAGTTTCATTTATGTTTGCGTTTACCACCGACTTGACTCTTGACGGATTCGCCTCGCCGATTTTTGCCTTGTGAACGATTCCGTTTTGGTTTCGGATTTCGTCTGAAGTTACCACAGCCGGAATTTTTAAGACGTTTGCTTTCCCATGCCAATTGCTTTTCAGATGATTTGTCTTTATTGAAGATTTCACCAAGTGTTCCGTGTTTACTTGATTTGCCCGTCTCCTCCAACATCTCCGAAAAGTCTTCAGCTGCGGCAAACAGCGAGTTCATATCTGTTGATGATAAAGAAGTATTGAATTATTAACTGAGCGAATTGAATTGGGATTTGATAAATCAAGTAAAATTTTGTAACGATTCTTACTGGTTGTATTCTTCAGTTTCTTTTGGAAGTCTTTGCTGGTGACTGCCCTTATTCGCTTAGCCTTTGGTTCATCATCTTCCGGATCAGAAACAGCGTCTGGGTCGATATCGCTATGTTCCGCCTCTTCGTCATCACTTTCAAAGATATCAGAACCGTCCTCATGATCTTCGTCAAGTGATATCGAACCACCATCGCTGTCGTCATTGAACTCATCTCTGCAAATTACATGTGAAATTTATTAAATCATGAATACCTCTTGAATTAGCGTCTTTTTAGGATGAATTTAAATTTCGAACTTTTGTTCCACGGTTTTTTTTGCATAGCAACAGTGCACTTACCCATCATCCATTGGTTCATTGTCATCGCCATCATCGTCTTCATCATCATCATCGCCATCGCTCTCCCAATCCTCACCACCGTCATCCTCTCCGGTGTTGCTCTTTCCTTCACCAAAGTCTCCGGCCAAATCGAATTCTTCATCGTCCAGACCGTCTTTATTCTTCTTTCCACCGAGACTGTCTAAGTATGCATCGAATTCATCGTCATCAACCGATTCGAAACGTTCACTTCGTTCACCATTCAAACCGAGTGCCGCTTGACGAGCTCGTTTCTTGTCCAAATATTCGAAGATGAATTTCTCATCCTCGGTACAATTGGCTGAACTCAATTGTTTCACCGGTTTGCCACGACTTCCATGCGGTGTATAGTGTTTGTGATGGAAGGTAGCCACAACAGACTCTGGCTTATTGTCATCTTTCTTTGGATTCTTGAAAGCAAAACGATCCAAGAAATGCGTAAGCGAGAAATCCACCAGCGGATCTCCGTAAAACTTGATTGGTGTATCTAAAAAAAGGTGAAATAAATCAGTTACATTACTCAACAATTTTAATTGGCTTCTAAATAGAAGGATGTGAAAATGAAGAATGAACTCACTTTCAAGAATGTTCTGTGCAAATACCCGCACCGTTGGATGGTAATGATGTAGCAATGCCACAAGTTCGGTTCGCATGGCATATTCAGCACCCGCATATTCCGGTGCACGATGATATGGATCGTAGGCCGTGGCCTTTCCATGATTTTCATTGACAGACGCTTCAGCTGTATCAGCATCATCTTCAGTTTTTAGCACCACTGGCAATGGGACTTCAATTCGATTCAGTTCACTTCGTGCTCGGACAATTTTACTTATGATTATCAAGCAGCCGCATGCAATTGGAGCCGGCAAATGCAATGCAACCTGCAATATACGCTTGACAAAGGCTTGTGCTCTCGACTTATTTCTATCCACGTGAATGGCACGATGAACGATATGCAGGAATAGAGCCGAATATTTCGATCCACATGTTCCCAATTCAGGGTCTAATAACTTTTTGTACAATGCATTATAAAAGCGATTGTGTTGATGTTCGGCACCCATTGCAGTTATCATTTGAAGAATCAGTGCCAATGTTTGCAGTGACACTTTGATATTTGCAAAATGAACCAATCGATAAATTGTATCTTGGGTGTCTTTGCTCATCAAACCACTATCACTGCCCGGTTTCGTTTTGTTTGCCTCCACCACATCAGTGATTGAATGCTTGAGACAAAGTAAAATTGCCTGCATTATCTTACTGTTGATGAGCCCTTTGTTGACCACCACTTTGAAAAATGACAGACAAATGTTCACCAGTTTCGTGCACACATCCACATTGCCATGTGGCGCCAATTGCGATAGGAAACACAAAGCAAAGTGTTGTGCATGTTCTGTGATATTGTTTCGGAATAGGAATTTCTCCGTTTCATTGGCAATGACACCGCACATGGCCGGATGCTTAAATGACACTTCGGTCAAATGATGCAATGCTTTGGATGCAATCATCTTTGATGGATCACCCAACTTATTGACCAACATTGACAATAACATTTGCTCCTTTTCTGGGGCATACGACAACAACTTGGATGCACAAATGATTGCTTGCTTTTTGTTTGCCTCCTGACCACCTTGGATCGCATTCTGAACGTTACGCAAAAATTCTAAATCGAAAAAATGAAAAAAACAGAAAACATTTGGCATGAGTTAGTATGTGAATGGATTGGAAAATTGTTTACACTAAAAAAAAACTCAATACCAAAATACTGATCCTTGATAATAGTTTCAACGTGCCAATATGCAAAAATTTGATCTTTTTTCGCCTTGTCAACGCCCTCGTTCTTCTTTAACGCCTTCCAATCGGCGCCACGCAGTGAAAAGGACAGTAACTTTCGGTCCGGTGGCAGAAGTGCATTGATAAACAAATCTGTTGCTACATCTATTTGCGGAAATTAAAAGTGTGAGTTGGAGTTCTTCTGAAAAACCGAAGTTATGTTCCACTTACCCACTGAATCGGTACTATTTTTGTTTGTAATTTTCGTAAAACATATAAGCGATTCGAGCGTTTCTAAATTGGCCAATGGATTTGACTGCACCAACAATGCTCCAGCATTGGCACGATCTCGTGAGGTACCCTTATGCAAGGCAGTCTTAAGCCATTTCACATCGGAAGGATTACCTAAAAATACAAATGAATTCATTCCTTAATTTTATTGCGCTCATTGAGTTTATCATCACATTTTATTTGACTTACGTTTTTCAAACGCCGATTTTTGTTCCTCATAACATTTCTGACAGTAATTTGTGAGCTCCTCAATTTCATTGTTTTTCATCTCGACAAGTTCACCAGATGTGTTGAATTCGGCAAACTGTAATTAAAATTGTACCAAATTCAGTTTGTTTCTTTGCTCCGTGTGATCATTGGATGACAATGGTGATTGCCTACCGTTTGATACCATAATGTTCCAATGTCCATTGCATCCTTGCGACTCTTTTCACCCTTTTTCGACGCTTTCTGCTTCTTGTCCGGAACATCTTGCTTCTTCTCTGGAATATCTTGCTGTTTCTCAACAACAATTTCACCGTCATTCTCATCATCATCAAAAATTATGTGTTTACTTTTGGCCGCACCTCCATCTGACGAAATGGATTCGGCTGATTTCACCGATTTATCACCGGTAAATTTCACTTTTGTTGATTTTGTTTTCAGAGCCATCGTGCCTAACAAGCATGCATGCACACGGTATGTATTCTAACACGATATGTTATTGTCTAGACTTTTTGTTTCAACAAACGGCGACACACGTGCACTTTGACAGACGTCAATATTCGAATTTCGAAAGTTCAACAATGGTCTATTGCATGAAAATAAATTTATTTAAAAAAATATTATTGATGTGATTTGATACATTAATTGTAAATTGTCTCCATATAAATTGAAATGCAATTTTTTCTTCACTTTTCATACAATTTCTTTTTTTTATTTTCTTTCAAATTTCCAATGAGTTGAAAATCGAATGTGAGTTGAAATTTATTCTGTTAGTGTCTAGTGTCAATAGTAATCAAATGCATACAGCGCAAAAAAAAAAAATCGCTACACTCTCGTTGGCAGCACTGTCGAAATTCAAAATGGCGAAAACTACTGTGTAACAACATAAGAAAGTGGAAAATTGCTCGTAAAAACAATTTGTTAGTTGTACCACTAAAAAAATTACAGTACAATCGCATACTAGGCGAAGCATTTTTATTTTCGTTTCCAATCAAATGCAAAAAACAAATCCGTTTGAAATAAAAGCGCTCCGAAATCAACCTAAGCAATATGTAAATACCGAAGCGATAATAATGAAAATAAAATAGAATTTCATCGATGTACATAACTGTTTTTTGTTTCGGACCGAAAAGTGTGAAAGAAAGAAGTATTTGTACGATTCATACGTATATATATGTATATATATATATGCACACAGAGGCAGAAGAGAAAGAATCGAGACGAGGAAATATTCATGTGCGAAATAAAGTGTACTCGATTTGTGTAAATATCATAACATCATATACAGAAAAAGAAAAAACGAACGAATAAAAATAAGAACGAGAATTTGTGTTTCGGTGAATCGAAACATTCGGATTTATTGTTTGCATCAAATTAAAAACATCACATTATGGACAACAATGAATCTGGCGGAGTTTATGCGGCGGAAAAAATCATTAGAAAACGATATAAAAAGGTAATGAAACAAACAAGAGAGAGAAAACCGAAAACCCGACGTCGAAAATTGGTTTGGCATTTTGAGGCCATCCGATCAATTGAAAATCAAAGGTGCAATTGTTTATGTTTTCAATATCAACCCAGTGTACATACATGGGTGCATTGTCGCCATCTTTGTTTGATAAAAGGTTTTTAAAGCAAAAATGTTAGCCTTTCCATCTGTTTTCCAATGAAAATCCGTTCGATTCGATGCATGTCCACAATTTAATCGAATCGTTGAGTGCAAAATTGTGTCGATATTTGACGAAAAAGAAAATTATATTACTCTGTTAAATTCCCGTCAAAACAAATCGAAACGATTCATGGCATGTAATTTGCCTTTCAGTTGCGCTGAGTTCCAATGCAATTGTCACACAGCATGCGTAAATATTTGCCATGGACTTTGTGGCAAGATTATTTTTGCGATTGTCCAACACATATTTCTGACTTGTTGTGGCAATCGTAGTGGAATTTTGTGGATTTTCGGGCAGACAGACTTATTCAGTGAGATTCAAAAGATACAGAAAATATATTTGCTTTGAAGTTGATGTAAAATGTTATTTATTTGTGAATCGATACATATTTGAGTGTTAACATTTTCCATTGTGTTCTTTTCTTTTCATTTTATTTCGTATTGAACAGGGTAAAGTGGAGTATCTAGTGAAGTGGCAGGGATGGACGCCGCGATATAATACGTGGGAGCCAGAGGAGAATATTTTGGATACACGTTTAATTCAAATATTCGAACGAACAAATGATTCAATAGTGTCACGGAAACGACCAAAGAAACGCGAACGCATTTTACAACCCGAACCAGACACCGAGGAAGAGGAGGAAGACGACGATGATGACGAGACAATCGGTGATCGTCTCAATAATTCATTTACAATTTCGAATCATTCGGAAAGGGATCGATCGTTCAAGACGAAAAGTACAGCTATTCGTACAGTTATTCCACCGATAAAAGTGAATTCGCTGTCAAGTAAGCAATTAACCGAATCGAAAGCCAGACAACAGCAACAACAGTATAATAATTCCAATGGCAGTACATCAATTGATATTCGACTAAAATCGGACACCAGTTCGAGTCACATAAAAAAGTCGTCGTCAGTGTCACAGCGGAATGCCCGAATAGGTTCAACATCATCGTCAATTCTCAATGACGATATGGTTGACACGAATTCCAGTAGCAGCGATGATCAGCCATTGAGTCAGTCGAGCGCTGGAAGCAAAAAACGTTCAAAGACTTTCATAAGCACCGTCACAACAACACCGACCACCAAACGAAAAGTTGAAGTGCTGTCGAAGGAATCGGGTAAAATTGGTGTTACCATTAAAACGTCACCCGAACCTGGACCACCATCTAATAAATTATTATGTACAAATGTGTCGGCCACACCGATCACCGTTCCGATCAAAACGGAGCCAGCTCCGCTTTCACCTGAAACGCCTGCCTCTCATCCCGAATCAAATACACCACCGGAAAAGCCATCAACATCGACCACCATCAAAAATGAGGCGCCCACAGATTCGCATCTGGGCTCATTCAAGTCAATTGAAGAACCAGTTCAAAGTAATCGCATTGAAAATAATTCAGAGAGTGTAAATAGTAGTAAAATAGCAAATGATTTCAAAATAGTTAAACGTGCGCCGCCAATACCAACATCACCGCGACCGGCACCGCCACGGCTCTGGTTGCCCAAAACGAATCTATCTGACCAAGTGATCATTACGGATGTGACCGTCAACAAGGAAACGGTCACGATTCGAGAGTGCAAAAAAGGCTTTTTTCAGCAATAAATGAAAAAAAAAACAATGACGTCGACGACGATGACGATAATGATGATGGATGAGTTCAGTGAACGCCCATCACAGGTCATCAAGATCAACATAGTATTGCATGAAAGACAAGAGTAGGAAGGAATACAAACAAAAACCCAAACAAACATAGAGAAACACAGACAGAACAGGCATCATCGTATATTTTGAATATATCAATCCATGCATTAACCAGTATTTATTCTAATCGTAATCAAACATCGTTATCAAATATTCGGTCAACATTTGACAATACAAGGATGAAATTTACAAGAAAAAAAAACAAAAACAAAAACAAAGGATCAAACCGATCAAAAGCAGAGTATGAAATGGCATGAACAATGCAACGTTTGATAGACGACACAAAACAGTTGAAACGAATGTAACTGACAAATGCAAAATGAACAAAATGATATGAAGCTCAACGTCTCGCAGAAAAGTGGTGTCAATGGCTAATTTACCAGGTAGTTAAATGTAGCCGACAGCTAGCACGGATTTTTTTTTCTGTTTCGCTTCACTCACTAAGTAGTTAAACAAATGAAATGAAATGAAATGAATATACGGAGTTTTGAACGGTTGAAAACCGTTTCCAATTTGTTAATTTCATCAATCATAATATATGCACCCGCAACAAACAAACAGACAAACAAACAAAAATGATAATGACAAAATATTGTAATTTTATTATATTATTATTATCAATTATTATTATTATTATTGATTTATGGTGAAAAAAAAGAGAACTGGACTACTTGAGCGACGAGATGAAGAGAAAAAGCTGAAACATTTAACAAACAAAAAGGAAGTAAATGAACGTACAGAATAGAAACGAAGTGAATGGAAAAAAAAACTAATTTATTTTAGTTGTTTAAGTTTAAAATTAGTAATTATTAAATGTAAATATTTGAATGTAAATCATACAAGTAATAAATTTAAAACTATGCACAATTTTGATGTTGTGGCCAGTTTTTTTTTTTTTGTTTAGAATTCCCATTTCATAGCTTATAGCCATGTTTGGTGTGTATTTCATATAAATATCTATATCTATAACTATATCTACATATATGTGTATGTCGATTGGGCAGTCCATAAATAAAGTAGGTATCAAACATATTTGCAGAAGACGCAATTTAATTTTCACATTAACTATCAAATTGAATGAGTTCGTATTTCATTCATTGAAAAAATTAAACATTATTTGAACGCGCAATACACGACTACGGCGACGACGACGAGGTGGTGGAGAAAAGGTGTAAATGGCATCCAACCACAGTCGAGTGCTAAATCATGTCAATCAACTCACTCGTGCACGCTACATTATTCCTTCGTCTATGATTTTCACGCAAGACATAACAAAGAAGAATGTAGTGAACAATTGACACCGAAGAGATGGTCTCAAAATTTAGAAGAAACAACAACAAGAAAAAAAAACAGCCTAGATCAAAAAACTATCGACAAAAAAAAAATCTCTCAATTTTCCAAGAATTTCATTATGCCATTCATTCAGCAGATCGGCATTCGGCAGTCGTACTATACAACAGTTGTGTGTTCATTTTTTTTCTTTCTCTCGCCCTGTTCGCTCTCTCGGTTTGTTTGTTTCAAATAATTCGGCTTTTTCGAAATTGGTGAATAGACAGTGTTTCCCTCCATTTGCGCAAAACGCCATCGAACTCAAAGAATTCACGTGAACGTCGCTTCGCACACAACATACACACCACTACAAACGAAAGCGTCACTTTGACAGTTCAGTCTTTATTGCTGTGTGTTCGCCATATTTATGAGCCATTCATAAGAGTGCTACAACAGAGAAAAATCATATTGTGTTTTTTTTTATTAAAAAAAAGTTTTTTTCTTACGCCGATTTAGTGCTTATTCCGATTTGTTTATGCGATTTTCAATTGGTAGCTAATCAAAATAGTATCATTGATTACGCATAATTGGAGCGCTATGTCATTTTTTGAGAAAAACCCGTATTCGTCAAGCTATATTGACAAAAAGGAAAGCATTTCAGAACAAGATTCGCCTCGACGTCTCAAAGTGGCTTTGAAGAAATTTCTTTCGGATGAAAAATTTCACAACGATGGAATGCCCACGGATGCTAGTACAACAACAGCAGCAGCAGCAGCAACAGCAACAAACAATCACATCGAGCCAACATTGAATGAAGCATCAGCATCAACAGCAGCAGCAACAGAAGCAGCAGCAGCCGCTGTTGAAGAATCAGTTAAATCGCCCGATGGGATCGTGCCTAAGGTTAGACAAAAAACAAATGCACCTTCAAAAAAGTGATTTGTATATACATCAGGCGAACATGGTTCACAATGCAAATAACAGATGAAAAAGAATGTGTTGTGTATCTCCACAGCACGCACATCGCATCACTCATACACAACGAAATCTGAGCACGATTCCAATTTCCGAATGTTTATATCACTCTCTCTCTCTCACTCTCTCTTTTCATCGTGATTCGATTCAATTGTCGAATGTGCTTCCTTGTGAATGTGCTTCAATAAAAGTTACGTCGCATTGTGTTTTTCGGTTGTTTTCCTCGCCCTCTCATTCGTTCAATTTTCTTATTTATTTGGTTTTTCTTTTTCTCAATGCATTCTCTCTTTCTTTTTTCTCCGTGTGTGCTCTATCTACGCTGGTATCATCACAACAACAATGACAGGATGATGACGACAGATTCTGTTTTGATACGGAGATTTTTCGCGTCTATTGTAAATGTACCGAATGTTTACAGTATCGTGAAGTTTTGATTCAATTAGTGCTTGAGGATCATGAATATAATACGTTGTGGGATCGTTTGAAGGCTCTCATTCGAGAATTCTATGATGTTATTCCACAGTAAGTAAAGCGTGCCAAAAGCAAAAAAGTAAACCGTGTTGGAAAAATCAGCGCCAAAGTAATTCAAATCCGCTATTTTGTTTGCTTTGCAGAAATCCAGTGCCGTATGAATGTTCAATGGATGCCAAGTACGAGGAGTTAATTAATTCGCAAGCGAGATGGTTCACCGATGGACACATCGACAAGCAGAAAAATATACAATTGTCGTTAAGTTCTCAGTTGCCGCTTACAAATGAAATGACGTTCATACTTGTGTTCACAATGTAAGTGGTAACGCAACCTCTCCGAGATTTGGCCCATTATAATTCTAAATATCAAGCAGTTGTACGATGTTTTGTGTGTGTGTGTGTGTTAATGTTTGTGTTCTTAAAAACAGGTTATACACGCGTGATCCTCATCAATTGTTCGAGCTGCTGTGTATTCAATTGCGGTGCATTTCGATTTCGTACAGCGATGGACTGAAACAGATGCTAAAAACGAACGGAGACGATGAAACTCCGACCTATAATCCTGTTGAACTACTTACATGTATGTGTCTCATCGGACCGAACCTTTGAAAATATACCAAATGTCTTTGGTGGACATTGATCTCATTTATGTGAATTTCATTTCATTTTAGTCATCTTGGATGGATATGATAAGTTCTGTAGCACGGCAAAGAAATTATCCTCACTGTTGTTCGAATTGCAACGTGATCATTTGCAGCAGTTTCTATTGACATGGACAATATTGAATAAGCGCATGTATCAACGGTACGTTTATATGGAAATTCAGGAGTTGATACCCGAGTGTATACTGAAATTGAAGGATCTACTGGAACCGGAGGAGTATAGCACAATGGCGCACAGACTGATCCGATTTGATGAGGATATGACATCCATCACAAAGAGCTGGTCAGATGTATGGTCATTGCTGCAGGAATATCATATGGGAAGTGAGGATACGGAACGGCGAAATCGAATAAGTTGCATTCAAGATCTTCTCAAAGCGATTCGTGACTGTGAGTTTGACTTTTCGCCTTATGAGAAACTGCTGAAGCGGGAGAATTCCGCGAAAATGCAGTGGATGAAAATGGAAAATCGAGATGAAGCCTGGGTTTTGACCGTCGACTATCTCAAGCGTGTGTGGCTGGAGAAGGATGACTCTCGGCTCTATGCCAGCGTTCGCAACGAACGATGTATAACGTGTGATTTTGCATTAGCGAGTCACTATGCGTACGTATCATGATTTTTCCAATCGAAATGCAATTTCGGGCTGATTTATTCATTTTAATGTCCTTTTTGTTTGTTCGTGTAGCGATTGTGATTGTGTGACCTGCTTGTTTGCCGGCGGCCCTTGTAGTAACCAAGGGAAAGAGGTGCTTGAGAAGTACTACTGTACGAAGTGTTCATTTTATGAGAAACTCGACAGGGACTACATGGATTACATAAAAAAAGACATAACACGACGGCTAGAAGAGACATCGGACAAATCACTGCCAAATACAGATGACGATGATAACGATGACCTGGATATCGATGAACTAACGGACACAATGCTGGAAAATCATTGCTATCATCTATCGTGGGCTGTCTTCAAACATTTGCCATGTAATTAAAATAAAATAGATTAACTAGGATTTTAAGGTTTTTTTCCTTCATTCACTGCTTTATTTCGATCCGCTATTGCACCATAATTTCCATCCAAATTCATCCATTGTGTCTTAAGTAAGGTTAATCTAATCTCTCTCACACACACACCCACACATTCTCTCTCTATCTTCCCAATCTAATAGTGCGAAAGGTTTACAGTGCAACGAAATTCGATGCGCGACATTTTTGTCCATTTCAAGAGCCACCGTGCATGCGAAACGAATGTCGCGTGGCCACACATATCATCGCCGGCCTTTACCCATTGAACTTTTCCAAGTTTTTGATAAAAGCCTATCAGCCGCTGAAAGAAGAAGAGCGCAAAGAGCTAATGAACATTCAAAAGCTGTATTTTTCGTATTTAATGCAAAAAATCAGCGATGATAAATCGCAAAAGGTGGATATGCTACAGCAAATGGACCTACTGTGGAACATTGATGACGCTGAGTATACACTGTTCTGTGACATTGGATCGGCGTTTGCCGAATGTTATTTGATTGATATGCCGATTCCCGTTCAGGAGCTACTCGATTCATGTTTCATTCCCGACAACGGCGACATTGAACTGAACACATGTTGGCTCGAATGTATTTATATGTTCAAAGAAAGTGATAATTCTCCCCTTAAGAAAATCGAAAACGATCCCAAAGTGCTGGAATTTCAATTACGCATGCAAATGGACCAAATTAGCAGTATGAATGATGTGGGTAAATTTTCAACGGCGGCAACCACCAAACTGATGACGGCCACCACATCTTCCGAAAAATTGATTCCACTCTTCCAACTACCGGCCGACGAAATGGAAAAGGATGACCATGAACTGACTACGAAAAAGAAATTCAAACCGGAACAGTATGAAAAACTACGAGCACTGCTCGATGTGGTGAAAAATGAATCGAAAACGGAGAAAAAAGATGAGGAAAATGAATCAAAAGAGTGTGCACATAGTTCAGCGAGCGCTGCTAGTTCGAAATCGAAGAAACCGAACAGTTCAAAGAAAATTACTGGTGAAACCACATCGCCAACACCATTTCGTGAAACAAAATGCAAAAAACATGATTTATGTGATAAAGACAATGCAACGGAAAAAGATGTGACTTTGGCTGATGCTGTCAAAATCGCCGTCAAACAACAATTGAATCAGTAAGTTGAACGACTTAATCAGTAAGTACGGTTGACATCTCTGTACTGTCTTGACAACAACAAACACTGATCAACACTGTAAATGCATAATAGATATCATAACCACAAAAATGTGCCGGTTTACAAAGCGAATGATTAGTCCAGTATAAATGAACAGATGAATGGCATTCAAAAGAGTGTTTTAATCGATTGTCACACAACTAAAAAACATCATAGCCATGCCAATCATCACAGTGTACATAAAAACAATCATTTGAATTCATTGAAATTTTTCTAATTTGCTATTTGATTCGAGCAATTCGACAAAAACAATTATCAAATATTTGTCGTTGTTGACGTTTCGGTGTTGTCAACCATATTTCTATTTTTTTTTCGTTTGAAATTTAAGATGAATCATATCATTCGGTTACATTTGAAACTAATTGATTCGTTTATCAGCACAAAGTGTGAAATTAATAATGAATTTTTCTTCAACATTTTCGCAGGAAACTAGAAGCAGAGTTGAAGAGTTTGAAAAAAGAGCACAGGTTAGTGGAAAGAAACAAGATGAAAAAAACATGAATTTCGTGTTACTGCAAACAATGTCATGTTTTGTGCGCGTTGTTTGTGATGCACACAATCAAAAACCACATGTTGTCACAACGAATCGTTTTTTGTTTTCCAACTTTTGCAGTGTACTTAAGGATATGGTCCGTGATCTCGAACAGATCAAAGAGAACGATGAAAGCCAATTAATAACGAAAAAAGAGAAGGCAAACAGCTCGGCTAACAATGGCGGACATCATTGTGAGTGACATAAACAAATTTTTCCGCACACAAATCAACACACAATCCAAAAGAGGTGATGAACGTTTTTTTTGTTGATTGGCTATTTTTTGTTTGATTTTTTGCAGGTTGCTCGGAACACTCGGACATGTTGGAGAATCAGCAAAACCATCCGAAAATGTGTCATCGTGGTGACGGCCAATGCACCTGCTACTATTGCACAATATTTGGTCACACAGTAAGAAAAATGCGTTTCCAAAGCAGAAACGTGCTCTCTGTATATTTTGTTTTGTAGTTCTCGTTTCTCGTTGCCCATTTTCTTTCATTCTGTTTTGTGTGCGAGCTGTTGCTTGATTGGTGTTCGTTGATAAATATAAACAATCAGAGATAAAATAAACACATACTCGCCAATCGTTAGAACCAACTCGCAGAGTGGTCGCACATTCAGCAAGCAACGACATTTCAAATGAAATCCAAAGTGTTTTTCCAAAGATGTACAATTGTTGGTTTAGCGTACACATTTGCCCAGTAATTTTAATTTTGATTTTTTATGCGTTGACAACACATGATTGTTTATTCGATTTGTTCATTTATTTTCACACACAGTTTCAAAGCGATATTCTTTTTCAAACTCAATGAAATTGAAGTGAAGTAGATATTTACCATCACCCATGAATATCGTTGTGTGTTTGAATGATTCAATTGGAAGTTTTGTAATCGATATTGAAATGTGTGAATGATGCATTTTATTCTGTGTACTTTTTTCTGCAGGAATGCAATCACGGTCGATCAAATGAGACGCGTGACCGGTTGAGAAAGCGTTTGCATCAGATTCACAGCAAGAGTTCGACAAAAACGCTCACCACAAAGACCATCAAAAATCAACCGGGTGCTTTGAAGAAAATGCTCGCATCGAAAGTGCAGACACCGGCCAACAGTGCAGCCAGTGCAGCAAGTGCAGGTGCAAGTAGCACACAAGGTTTTGACATCATACCACTGAAGCAGCAACAACCATCAAAGCCAGTTGTCGAACAAAAAGACAACAGCACAAATGAAATTCTCGAAGCGGCGCTACAGGACAATTTCACGAAGATCACCACCGGTGCCAATACTGCAAAGGGTGCATGTTCAAAGGCGTCAGCGACCAATCAAACCACTGCCAACAGTACAATCAATGCAACCGATCCGAAAAATGCCAAGAAACGAAAGATATTGACGGCCACCACCACCACCACCACCACCACGGCCAAATCGGAGCATGTAAACGATTGCGAATCTGGAATGTGTAAGTCGTGTGATGGGAAACACAAGCATCGATCGGAGACCACCACATCAAATTCCGATGCCGATACGAGTGTAACGCGTAAAACAAAAACGGCACAAGCATTTACCAACGATGATGCATCACTCGATGACATTCTCGATTTCATCGAAGGCAACAACACCAATAAAAAAGACTCACAGAAAAAAGCCGCCAAGAAGGCGAAGCAGAAGCAAAAGAAGGAGGATATTAAACGAATCGAGGAATTGGAGCAACACCGTGATCAATTTCATGAGGCCTTTTTCAAGGAATTAGATGTTAAAAACGATTTGAAAAACCTGCGCAGTATGAAAAAACGTGATAAAAAGAAAATCGCCGAACTTGAAACGAGTATCAAGAAGTATGGCAAATTCAAATCCAAAATTGAATCGAATATCTTGGAATTGATTGGCATGCTGAAGGCAAACAATCCCGACTTCAAATTCGCCTACTTACCGACCAAGGAACAGCAGCTCGAAAAACAACAGCAGCAACAGACACAAGGCACACCGCCCGTCATTGCCGAACTGATCGGTTTGTATTTCAATGAGTTCATTCATCATTCAGTTATTCACACCCCTTTTCAATTTCATTCATTTAATTTGTGCTTTGTTTGTCGTTTTCTTTGGGGGCGCCCCCCCCCCCCTCTCTCTCTCTCTCTCTAGGTGACCAAGTGAAGAGTCAGCAGGATAAGAGCAACAATGTGCGATTGATTCAGAATGATCAGCGACAAGAGACATGTGAGATTTCGCTTGATCAATCCAAGCGAATGGTGACCATTCGACGAATAAATGTGCCGCATGCTGAACCACAAGTCACTGTCACTGCAAAGGGCATTTCACCCGATAAAGATAAACTCCTCTACACATTCATCAACGGTCAATTAATTCCGAGCGCAAACGTTCCAAATACACCACCATCTGCGAATGTTAATGCAACAAACAGTGCCGCTAAATCGAAGCAGCAAAATGCTAAAGTTGAGCCATCGTCGATCGCTAAATCATCGGCCAAAAAATCGGCCGTCGAGCCCGTGTTGCCTGACAAAAATGCAAAGAAGAATGCAAAAGAGAAGCCAACAGAGAAAAGTACTAAGGCCAATGAAAAAACCAATGGCCGCAAAGTATCGCCAGAAAATTCCAAGGCGTCGACATCAAAATCGACCAAAGCCACCGCAAATACTGCCTCCACAATAAAAGAGAAGGAAAAAGACAAGGAGAAGGATAAAAAACAGAAGAAGGGCAAAAAGGATGTTGAATCCGACGTTGACACAATTATCAATTCCACAAAGGAGCTGACGATCAACGATGAGAAGCCGAAAAAGGAAAAGAAGAAGGTGAAAGCCGTGAAATTCGAGTATGCCGATCCCAATTACAAAGTGAATCAGTTCGATTTATTGGATATGGACGAAGATGATGATTACTATATTGAATCGTCGTCAGAGGAATCGAGCGATGATGAATCTGCACCACCACCGCCGCCACCTGTAACCAAACCAGCCACAGTTACAAAACAACAAACGCCTCCACTGTCAAATCAGTCTTCGATAGAATCACAATCCACCGTACAATCCGCACAAAGTAACAAAAATACCAAAAACCAACCGGCAGCAAAGAATGCCAAGGCTGTTGAAACCACCAAGAAGGGTAAGAATGATACTAGCGCAAAGACGCATTCGCAAAAAAGTGATAAGAAACCATTGGCCGAGAGTAACATCGCTCCGCCGACCAAATCACAGAAGCCGCAAAACAATCAAGCGCAACAAGCGACTGCATCTGCAGCTAAACAAAGCAACACCACTGACGATTCCAATTTGTCAAAAAAACAAAAGAAAAAATTGGAAAAGAAACAGAACACAGCTCAAACGCAGCACCAACAGCCAAACGCAACCAGATCATCTTCAAGAGCGGTAAGTTGAGCTAGTACACCATTTTTAATTGAACCAACAAATATTGCGAAAAAATGCTGCGCACTGAGACTGTTGAATTGTCTTTTTCAATTGATTTGAAATTGATCGTTCGACGGATACATGACTTGAGCAGATAATGAAACTTTATTCAATTACTCAACGCAAAATGTTCTTTTTCGCATATCTTCTGCAGGACCCCGAATTCTATTCGATGAACTCGTCAATGCAACGAATGCGTCTCGATTCGGATACAAGCGATGCGATGAAAAATCAATCACCGAATAAGGTAAGTGTCAATTTAATGTGAAATTGGATGGAATGCGAGTTCTAATTCACTTCCATGCTTGTAGGGTTCTCCAAATGTAAGCATCATGGATCAATTGAATCGTGGTGTCAAAGTTGAAGGGCTCACACTTCCACCAGGCATAACTTTAACGCGTGTTGATCCACTTTCGGCCGAAGGCATGCGTGCTAAAAAAGAAGCGATCTCACGCGTAAGTAATAACAAAATTAGTCCAAAGAAAAATAACCAACAAATCTGACAAACAATTTTGACAACCATTTCCATCATTAACATACCATAATCACAATCAACGTTTCGATTCGTTTTACCATTTCAGATTTCTCAACCGGCTCCAACACAATACCAACAGCCGTTGGAATATCAACGACCACCGCCATTTATGGCTGGCATGCAAATGCCAACGAATGGTTTGATAATGGTTGACCCAATGCAGAATATTGCATCGGCCGATCCAAAGGCGCAATCGCAGCCAGGCTCGAAGAAAAACCGTAAGAATCGAAAGAAAAACAAGAACAAACCGGAAGAGGAGAATGTGAGTGAGCAAAATGGTCAGCCAAAGATTGTAACACTGCGAAATCCCCTATTCCAAGGAACAAGTGATCCGAGTCGAACGCAACCACCGATGCCATTGCAGCAGCGGAATCAGGTGCCATTGAATATAAATCAACCGGCGTCGATAATCAAGAACGACAATGGAATGTTCACCATTCGTAATACGGCCCTGCACCAAGCTCTGTCCAATGGTGTGGCACAAAACTATCGACCATACTCGAGCGAAGTGATGTATCAACCACAGGAAAATAAACAACAACAACAACAACAGCAGCAGCAGCACGATAATTACTCATACTTCTCCGGCAATTCGAATAATACGACCGCTACTAATTCGACCAACGGTAGCTCAACGGCAATTGCTCAAGATGCGTTGCGATCGACAAGCGCACCAAAACCCTCACTCATGGCCATCGGCAGCGAGCTACAGCAACGAAAGCAACAACAGTCGTCATACGCTGGCATGAACGGCGGTGACATGTTCAACAGCATGCACATGGACACAAAACGACCATATTCAGCATTCGATGTTAGTTCCAATTATGGTTTCAACAGTGATTTCATCGGATCCGCTCCGAATAATGCATCGATTCCAACCACAATGCAAAATCAATACTATAACGTCAACGGTGGTTTTCCATTCAACAATCAAGCACACAGCGACAATACGAACAGTTTATTTGGTAGTCGAACGCCAAATTCATTGACAAACTCGCATTGCTGTGACGATTCTCCACCCAGCCACGATCCATACGGTACCAAAACCACGGACGATAACTCCTTCTTCAAAAAATTCGATGATGATTCATTTTTACATGGATTGCATCCGGGACAGCGGCTGAACAGCGAGGTAATTATTGATTACAATGCAACTGTTATGTGAAACTGTAACTCGAATTTTTATTTGATTTAGGTGACCATTCACAATATAAACGATCCGAAATTCAACCGAAAGCCAGCACCAGTCAATTTAAGAGACGGTGTTGAAATAACACGGATTAACGGTCCCGATGGTTTCAGCGCCAATCCAAATCTGGCCGTTGGCAGTCGACCAATCAGCCGACCAACTGCTGTCAACGATGATTTGAACAACAGTGCAAGTTCCGAATTCGGAGGTAAGTTCAAGTTTAATGAAATTCTTCCAACTTTTTTTTCCCCGTTTGTTCTGACACTAATCAATGCCTTGCTATTTCATTTCTATTGAAGAAAATGTGTTCGTTCCAAACTCTGCGGTAAATCTCAACGAGCTCGAGACTGATGAGCGTGAAATTGAATCGTTCAAGCGTTTCAACTACTATTACGAACCTCCAAAAAATAAACCGAAAGTAAATCTCGACGTGAAAGGAATCGTGGTGGCCAAGAAGCAACCCGCATCGAATAATTCTTCGCCATACTTTGGTGAATTGGCCGGCTCATCACTGAGCAACACTCCGCGTCTCGAAGACGACCTCTATCCCGAACTAAATGCATTTAAATCGAATAATTGTGATCATACAACGATTAATCGAATTCATTTGGATAATTTTTTACATGGTATCATTGGTGATGAGCTAAAAACCGATCACAACTAAACTTCGTACTGCATGTCATGATATGAAACATTGAAATTTCAAACCAACAACAATAACATCAACAAAAAAAAAACAGAACCACAATAAAAAAAGAAGATAAAAGAAAACAAAAATCATTATGTAAAAAACAAACTTAAGGGAAAGAAAAATCGAAATAAAAACAAATAAATCAATTATTCACTTGAATTTTTCGTTTTTTCAAACCAAACAAAAACAACCTTGTCTTATATTTCTAGAATATAAAACAGATGTGATCACTGAAATGGATTGAATGTCAATGTCACCCCGAAAATAAATAATTCCATTTACGTCAAGTCAATGCGTTCATCTAAATAGCAAGTTACATTGATATTCACGACATTTCTCGGTCGTGTTGTTGTGTAAACGTTAAAGTGATGTTAGATCTGTGAACGCCCATTTGCCAAATTTCACTTCAATTGCTGTGGATATGGTCGTTTTCAGTTTGATATTCATATACATTTGCTTACCTTTCTCTTATTGCAAAATGAAGTGATTCCTAATCCAAAAATTTACTCGGATATTTTCCAAACCAGAAGTAAATTGGTGTTTTGAGACAAAGGTCGGTATTTTGAGTTCTGGTAAAAACAGTCGAAACAGGAAGAATAATTGAATAAAAAATGACAACCAATTTTAATTAAATATTTCTTATAATTTTTTTTTATTATTTTCATGTAAATTTTTTTATCACAAATATCATGTAGATTTTTTTTTTGTTGCTGTTCTATTCGTTTTTTTTTTCTTTTATATCTTACGTTACCATTTCGGTTCTCCAATCAACAATAATGAAAAGTCGAAACGTTACAGGCATTTGTTATTTTTCGTCACCTAACTTGCATTGTGATACAACAATAGGGATAATAAAATTTATAGAAATCTCATCAACAGATTCATTCGGTTTCACCATTTTCTCACAGTATGCAAATATCTAAAAAAAAGAAGAAGTCTGTAACCAATTTTATACATAAAATAGGCTGTTCATCTGTCCGATTAAGGAGAATCGAATAGAATTTTCCACCAAAAACATATCCTAATTTGTTTGGTTTTCTCTTTCTTTTTTGACAAGAAACAATACAATTTCAAAATCTTTGTAAATCATTTTCATTCCATTTTGACTGAATCAAAAATGCTATACGCAAAAGTCTATATATGTTGACAATTTCATCGATAGTTTTCGTTAAATTTTTCTTTCTTTTTTGTCTCACCAAATGGCATTCACTATACGTTAAATACTTAAACATATTCATCGGTGAATTCTAAAATGTCTTGCCTCTAATACAAAAAAAAAATCATGAATTTTGGAAGTGTTATCTTTGTGTGAAAAACGTGTAAATTTTTTTTTAATAAATTAACCTTAGTTTGCATATCGTACATGTCAAATTCGCTGTATGTGTGCGATCTAAGTGTCGAAAAGTCCCCGGGGATCGTATTGAATTAGTAATTAACCGACATTGTCGGAACGAGGGGCACAGAAAAATTTATTTCACCTATATTAATATGTATCACATCATGGTTACACTATTATTTAAAAAAAAAAAGAGAATTGAATTTGTAATTGGAAATGAATTACTAGTTGGGCAATGATCGCACATTTGAATTTTTCCCAAACAAAAAAATCAAACTGGATTTTTAACCGGTTTTTTAATAGACTCAGCAGTTTTTTTTCATCATTTTTCGCTAGTTTTTTTTCCTTTTTTTTGGTTAGCTCTTCTCTAATAATTACCACTTATTTGGCTAAATTCGATGTTTTTTTTAATTAGTTTTTTTTGTGTTTTATGAAATTACATTCATTTGAGAAAGAAATCATCAAAACTAAAAAAAAATAGAAATTAGCTGGCAAATTGTTCTTTGATGCAGATTTTTTTTTTTTTTGGTTTTGTTTTGTTCGAATTGTGATTATCTGAATTGGACGCGTAAAATGCGTAATTATTCTCATCATCATTTCGTGCATAACAAAACAACGCAAATTTTTTCTTCATACACACTTCTAAACTCAATATGAAACGTTCATAAATCGAAAAATTTACAAAATTAAAAATGTATCCAACACAGTTTTTTTTTTTTGGTAAATGCTCCAAAATCGAAGCAAAATGAAATTATTTGATTGACGCATAATTTGAGAATAATTTGACAGTTAGTTAGAATTTGCTCATTTTTTTTCTTCTTTTGATTCGATTATACTATTTGTAATTTTTTTTCTGTTCTCATGATTTCTTCTATCTATGTTTTTTTTTCTGTGGGCTAACGGAGATTTGTGTGTTTTTTGTCCCTTTTCGAAGTTTTTTGTTTTGTGTTTTTTTGTTGTTGTTGTTTGTTTATTTTACTTTTAGTTTTGGGATGTTACGTCGTTACTTCTGTATATCTCGTTATACGTATTGCAAATCGTTTGAATTGAGCTCTTTCTCATTAAATGGAACGAATCAAATTTTATAAAATGAACGTGTCAGCTTAAGATCGATTGACTTCACTTAAGCCTGCCCGACGATGGGAAAAACTCTTGAGCTAACGGATTCAATGTTGAATTTTCAATATCATGTGGTGTTACTTCAAATTTCGATAGTTCATGATCACTGTACTGAATATTCATCGTCCTAATGGAAAAGAAGAGAGCAATTGATGGAAGGCATTTAAGTTGCATTGTAATAATTTTGTTTTCTTCAAAAATTCAAATTAAGTTTAAACTTACTCGCTTTGTGATGGCCAAAGACCGTTGTCACTGTCAACCATTTCGTCATTATCGTATCCATCCTCTTGCATATTTTCCATGCATTCTCTCATCAGTGCTTCTTCTTCAAGACGCTGCAATTCGGTCTTATCGAATTCCTCCTCATTTTCCATCCAAAGGTATTCCTCAAAGCTCGTTTCAGCATTCTCACTGCCGATGTCATCTTGGTTCTCTGTGTCGAAATCGTCCTGATCGAACGACGCCTCGTGATAGCTATTGCCACCTCCACTGACGGAAAATACAAACGGTAATTTCATCTTTTTTCTGCTACTGTTGCTGTAACCAAACAAATGAAAAAAGAAATGTTTCCAATGAAAACGATCGTCTTATACTATTTTTATACATTAATATCAGCAATATTTATTTGAATATTCCGCAGCTGGAAACGATTTATGAAAAATGGTTTGTTTTATCTGCTGTAACGAGGCGAATGACTTATTAAATTACCGTTTTAGGCCGTGTCTCGTGTTTCACCCAATCAATGAATGTGTGCATTGGTCTTTGTAAAATGTGTAACTGAAACTCAGCGAATATTGAAAACATACGTTTAGTCAAATTTTTTGTGCATGTGCAATCAATGTCGTTGCATTTTAATGCAGTTTCCCATCGTTTGCATAAACTTCCGAACGGCCATCATTTATTGTGAATGCATTGATCAGCGGTAAACCGTTGCAATGGCTTCATTTATTTGATTTTGCCATATATTTTTTTCCCTTGGTTTGCGTTGCATTTGTGTGTTTTTGTTATGTCTGCGTAATTTAAATACGATTGTCTTGAACAAATAAAACGACTTCAATTGCCGTTTGATACTGGAGTTGATGCGGATGTGATTCTGAACTATTATGCCTCTATGTGACAACACAAAAATAATCTACTGCGCATCGATGGGTTCGCTTTATTTTCTTCTCTCTACTTGTTTCATTCAAACAAACCACTCATTTTTTACGTGTCTCTTGATCTAAATCAAACAAATTGCATATCCAATCGGTTGTGATGACACTGAATCATGCAAATCACTATCGTTTGGAGTTCAATGTATCGTAAAGTGAAACAAGAAAAAAAAAAAGCTAAATGTTCAATACACTCTGGTTTTCAGAATATGCTTTCATATGTTAAGTATTGCGTATGCGTCGAACACTAAAATGATCAACAAGGTCACCACCATGCGAAAGAAACTGTGTTGAAGACGTAGCGCGACTGTACAGCAGAAAATAAAGTAGTGAAGAAGAAGAAGAGAGAGAAAAAAACAATCAAAACAAAACAAAAACAGAAATGAGTCCCTGTTCGACGAGACTGCTTGATATATATTTTTTTTCTGTTTCGCACACAATTAAAGTTTCATTTATATAACCATCACAGTTGTCAGTGCAAACAAATAACAAAATTAAAATGGGACCGTCGACGAGCTTTGCTGATGTGCAAAAAAATCACACTAGAGCAACGAAAATTCTTCGTATTTTTTTTTGTTCGTCTCTTGTTTCGTGCTGTCCATGATACGTAGAGTCGAAAAGTAGAAAGAAAAATAAAATTGAACATTTTGTACGTAGAAAAGTGAACAAGCTACTGTGCCATTGACAAAAGGTAAATTTGGTCATTCATTTCATAATATTATCGATATGAATGCGTCAATAGACAGCTGGAGATATATCTTATGCGAGCAAATTATCAAACTAATTAATGGAGTTGTTTTGAATTCTTGAAACTTCTAAATAAAACTGCTTACCGTGCTATGTTATCTGCTGCTTACAATAACGTCGGCTTCACTTGAACTTATTATTTCTTTATTTGTCGCTTACTTTGACTTTATTTGTCGCGTTAGTTTTGGTTGTTTGTCTTGTCTTGTCTTGTTTTTGTATTTGTTCTTTTTTGTTCAATCAATTTTTGCTTGTCAATCAAATTTTTTTTTTCTCACAATCTGCAAAATGATAGAAAGAGTTAAAAATTGGATTCGCATCAAATGATATCGACTAACAAAAGTATAAAACAATCGAATCATTGACACTCGAGAAGAAAAAAAAAATCACGTACAATTTGATTTTCAAGAAGACGAAAAATTGTTACAAGCGAAATTGCCAAAATTTTTGTACCGTTTTGTGTTCAGCTGATGACAAAAAACCCAGAAAAAATAAATAAGATGGATTCACAATATATACATATATACTATATTTTCTCTCGCTCTTCACACGAAAATAATTTACTGAAATAATACACACAACCTACTAAGCTGTGCGATTGAATAAAAGGCTTTCAACTCTAGACAAACAAGTACAAAAAAGCAACAACAACAACAACAACACACAACCAGAAGCGAAATGAAAGACCAAAAAGAAAAAAGAAGAAGCAGAAAACGACGGAGGAGGAGAAGGAGAAAAAACAAAAACAAAGACGTACAACAAACGGTGTGTTTGTATGTATATACGAATGATATGATGCGCTTCAGCACGTACATTCGTATAAACTACCGCAAAATTGTCAATCACACTGAAGTTGGCTATTGACAATGCGGTGCGGTGTTTTATGCTGCAGCGCCACATTTCAAATTGATGATTCGGTTGAAAATACAAACACATTTAAAACATTTAGACGCAACCGTTTTTAATCTATATGTTTGAAATCATCAAAAAATAAATCGAATCCAATGTTACCATCCATTCATTTGGAAAGTAAGCTGTATAATATTCATTCGAATTCGATTAGCGTCTACGTCACATAGAGCATTTTTCGGATATTACGTCAATTTTATTCGATCAATATCATTGGATAACGTTTTTTTTTTATCAATCATTGATTATTATACCGAGCACTTTCAAATCAAATTAATATTATAACGATATATATTGCGTTACCATCGTTGGTATAACCATTTTTATCGGCTTTGTTTCTAGGAACGTTTTTTTTTCCACACACCTCTCAAATTACATGCGTGTCTGACATTTTTTTGTTTCTTCCCCACTACATATTATATGGTCAATAGAACGATGAATGGACACAACATTCCGCCTCAAATGACGTACAACACATGAATTTTGAATACAGCATACGTTGGAATTGATTTGTCATTCGTCTTGCAATTATTATCAACGATGTCGAAATGGAACATAGTTTCTGGGTAACAACACGCTCCATTACGATTACGTACATATGGGAATATAGGGTGTTTAGAGATTTCCATAATTATATATCGTTCGATTGATCTGAGAGCGGATAAATATAGATTTTATAAACAATCGAGCAAATCCATCGATGCAAATATTAAATGTAACTTTGCTACTTTTCAATTGAATATCGATTGACAAGTTAAATTTTCATAAATCGTCATAGCAATTACAAAAAACTGTCATAAATTCATCGGGATTCTCAATTTACTTCCAGATAAATCGTTATTTTAAGAGATTTGATTGTTATATGAAAATTAAATGGAATTTAATATTAGATGAGTTGAAGCGGATTGACAAAAAAAATTGAAGAAGAATTCGCTCAACCAAATTCACAGGTCAAAAGAATACGAAAGGGTTCATTTCTTCTGTGACACCCGTTAAAAATATGTCCAACATTTTGTATGACAAAGCGTTGCCACTCGTTAAATTTTATCAGATTACACAAACAAAGTCAACACCTTTACCATTCCATTACATATGGATACAGTTCAAAACATCAAATATTTGAGAGTCGTGTAAAAAAAAAACTTGAAAAAATCCCGTTGAAAATTCCACCACGTTGGAATTGTGACTGTTTATGGAATGAAGCATAAGAACGAAGGTATATCGCACGGCATTGTGATTAAAAAACCTTTTCGAACTGGTGTAAACTCTATCCGATTCACAACAATTTTTCGTTTTGTTGATTTTTATCATTTTGGCATGGAAAAACGTTATGAATACATAATTTCGTTTAGCACGTCTGTCATGCAGAATGTAGTGGCCTTTGTTTTCCGAGGCGCCAAAATCCGAAAGACCTTAATACATATTTTAACGTGTTTGTTTTCGTGGGAAAAAAAATACACGGCATTTCTTCATTTTTAATTCCTCAATTCATCGATTGAGTAAGAACTATTTAGTCCTTGTAACAATCACAAAGTATTGTACAGTCGGGCTAGACATTTGATTAGAAAAAAAATTGGGCTAACTGAAGAAAACCTCGAAAAATACTGAGTCAGAATTATATACTTGTATCTAAAAAAAAAGAAGGTGAAAATAAACGTTAACTATGATCAACGCAATCGATACGGAACTCAAAATATATCCATCGGTTGAGTGCTTACCATCAAATTAAGTCGATGTGTATTTGTTCACTTATCATCCGATACATCGATTGATTTTCTAATGTTAAATGTTGAATGTTATGTCGAAAAACGGAATTGAGTCATCGACACATAAATAATTAAATCACTCGACACAACTCAAATTCGAAAACAAAAATCCATTTTTTACAAATTGTAAAGTGCATTTGTCGCATTTGTAATCTATTGTCATTGTGTCGATTAGCGTTACCACTGTTTTTGCCGTATTTCATGTCATTTTCTTCACTGTCAGTTGCTCCATTCATTGGTCAATATTACGTTCGATTTCAATGATTTTCTACTATTTGAGCAGTAAATTTGAGTGTGTTCCCGGTGTGTGCAATTGCATTTGTCCCTTCATGTGAATAATTATCAGAGTACTGTTAGTAATATTGTGTCCAATGAACATTAATCATCCAAATTAAAGGTTTATTTTGAATTTTCACATAAAACCATTGAATTTGTTCGGTCCAGTAAAAAAAAGAAATAAAAGTTCAGTGTTGAAGGTGTGAAAATTAGTTTTTTTTTTGTTCTGTGCTCAGGAAATTTTACGTGTATTTTGCACACTCCAGCTGAACTAAGACATTAAGGTTGGAATTGAAATATGTGAAAGAAAATCGCGCGCGTTGCATACAACATACATATACGGATATTGCTCACTTCGCTTTTTTTGGTTGGCCCAAATTGGACATTTCACCGCTATTCACTTGTTCACTTCTTCAGGTCGCTGTAACGCGTTCATATGTGAACAATCACACCAACACACATCATATGCGAGTATGGGTGAGTACATACATAACCTGCTATTCTCTCTCTCTCTCTCTCTCTCATTCACTCTCTCTCTCTCGCTTTTTCTCACACACACTCTCTTCATACATATCGAAAATAACAAAACTATTAAACTATTGCGCCGACACACATTTGCATGTTAGCATTGTTCCAGTGTCGTCGTGGTAATTTATTTGGCCACATGAAGTGTATCATATCTATCAATCAAACGTGGTGGCGGAGGCAACAAACGTGTGAATTTCAGCTTTGACAGAACATTCCAAAAAGCCCAAGTCAAGTAGAAAACAAAATCTTATCACTTCATTAGTGTTTTGACGGTGTATGTGTGGTCGAGGCAAAAAGTCTCGTTGAATTAACGTTTTTTGCATTTAGAATATCGAACAATCGTTTGTCGGCGACAGTTTTCCAAAACCGTGTGAGTGTGGGGTTGTTCAAATTTAGTCTGGACATTGTTTTTTTTGGCGGTTAAACGTAAGGTGATTCACAAATCTAATCCAAATCCGAAAAATAGAAAAAAGAACGAATGGGAAAAAACAACAAGAATAATTTATATTTAGCACATAAGAGCGATTTCCCGACCAGTTTTCGGCAGCCATACCAGTCGAACGATACGTGTTAAATGCTTTTCAAAATGTCTGAACAAGTGAATAAGAAAAATCATTACATTCAAATTGATGGAAATTTTGTTTTTGTTGTTGTTTCTGTTAATTTGTTTTTGCATTGCAACGTTTTGTTCTTTGGAGCGATCTAAACACGGCTTGCGATTCGGTTTAGTTTGTGGTTGAATGCAGTTGTGCTTATAACCGTTTAACGATAAAAAGGCTGGAAAATGAGAGTCGGCTAATCAATATTCGTATGTTGCGCCTAACATATACACAAACATATATTCAATACCATAAAAAAAATCGTTACACAATATGTGCACGGGAGAATAAACTGTAACAATTATCCATCGCACATAAAATACGAGCGCTTTTTGTTTCTCTCTTTGTACCGCCGTTTCTTTGTATCGCTTACTCTCTCTCTCTCTGTCTGTCTTTCTCTCCCTTTCTCTATGTGTCATTTGGGGTTGAATTGGTTTGGCTATTGTCGCCGTTTGTATCCGCGCTTTTGAATGTCGGTCGTGGTGAGGGCTATCACAAGAACGATACGAATTACAACAACAACAACAAAAACAACAGTAATAATAGAAAAAGCGGAGAAGAGAATGAAAATCAACGAGAATATAATCTTCGAGCTTCGACAAATATTCTCTCAGGTACATGCACACTTATCATACAGGTAAACGGGAGGGAGCAAGCGAGCGGGCGAGCGAGCGAATGAGAAAACAAACAAACATACAAAATCAAATGTTCGGCTCGTTCGATTCGGACTATTGCTTGTGTGAATGAAAAGTTATTAATTGGAAAGAGAAAAAAAATATCATAGAAAATATATGTGGTGTGCTTGCTCAACATGAATATTGTGCCCTATGTTTATGATTATCATTGTTGATATCCATATTTCTCGAAGTGGTTATTTTCTTTTACAATGTTGCGGTCGTTGCTGTGTTTCCGTTAGTTCATTTCACTCGTATATTACGGCATAACATACACATATTCGTGCGCAAATACATTAAAATAATAAATATATATAAAAAAAAGAGACACAGTGTGTGATGGACGATATGTTGAAATTTAAAGTGTGTGTACGTGTTTGCAAACGCAAAACGCATTAAATCCAAAAGAAGCGGAAAAAAACACAACGCGAATATTTATTCGATCCTTTGTGTGTGTGTGTGTGAACGCAAGATAAAACAAAAAAGACCGAATTAATGCATTAAAATGAAGTAAATTAATTACAGTAAGTGCTGCACTATTTTGTTTCTCTCTATTTCGTTGTTATTGTTTTTGTTTTTTTTTTTTGTTCTTTCGATGGAACAAAACAACACCGGAGCTTCCCTCTTGAACGAATTCAGTAAATGATAAAACTTGGAAAATAACAGACCTAGTTGAAAGTCGTTAACATAAACTACGTTGCAATCCAGGAAGAGAATAATCGTGGTCATTCTATTTGATTCCTGTTTTTCTAGTTTTGTTTTGTTTTTCTCTTTCAAAATAATCGATAACGTTTAGTTTGCCCATATTCATTCACACTGAAACGAAATTTTCAAACTTTTCCATCCAGTACGTGTACTCTTCAGTACGTGTACTGTTTCACTCCATTCGGTACGTGTACTGTTCAGTTTCAAAATGATCAATGATGAATCGTAGCTTAAATTTTTCAATAAGCGCACATCAAGTGTAAGAGTAGAAAAGTAACTTCGAATGAACATCCAAGAGAGGGAGAGAAAGGGAGAGTGAGCATATAAATAACATTTTTGGTTGTTTCATCCAGTTTTAAGTGCAAATTATTCATCATGGTTGTGAAATTGGAAAATTGAGTTTGCAAACTAGCCAAATGTAGTCATTTTTCAAACCAGTAACCAACTCAATTTAACAATGAATGAAAATGTACGAATTTCCTATGTATGACATTTCAACTGCATGGATTCTAAATGCCACACAGCACACATACCAACAAAGTTTAAAAATGAAAAAAAAAATCATCTAAAAATGACTTTGTATCGCATTGACATTTGTATCCTTCTTTAAGCCATTCAATTATATTCAAACGGCTGCTTTGCAAAATTACAACAGGTATTTTCTGCATTTGATTCCTAATTGTATTCGGATCGCTGCATGAGTATTCAAATTTGCCGTGTTCCAACATTGTTTGTAATTCATGTAGAAGAATACCAACGGCGATTTTCGATGTGAAATGTGTTAGGGCACAAACAAAAGTGACGAACTGAAGAGCCGAATAATCGGCACAAAACGTAAAATTCACATGAATTTATAATTGGTTGATTAACCCAAATTGTCGAGAGAAGTTGTAGTTTGGTAAAATGAAGTGACATGCTCTATTTTGCTTGAATTTGTTTTTTCTTTGTGCCTTAAGCTAAGTACACAGTTCCTCGTGAAATGAAAAAATTTCTCCGGTGAAATTTTCACAGGTGATATTCGTATGGCGTTTTTTATTTTTGAATTGCAAGCATAATGATTTTTGATGTATAAAACAGCTAACTCATTCCAATGTCAACACGACACATGAACAAAGTTTGTTTTTGAGTTCATTCTTCTATGTGTTTTGTCTGAACAAATTTTTTTCACAGTCGTGAAAAATATTTCGCGTACAAAATGTACGCGAATTTTTTTCACGGCCATTAAAAAATAAGAAAGATCAAAATACATTAAAGAATGAATTCAAAATTCAAATTTGTTCCTGTGTTGTGTTGATATTGGAGGGAGTTAACTGTTTTATACATCAAAAATCATTATGCTTGCAATTCAAAAATAAAAAACATCATACAAATATCACCTGTGACAATTTCACCGGAGAAATTTTTTCATTTCACGAGGAACTGTTTACTTAGCTTTAGGCTGAAGTGGAAAGTATGAACTGAAGAAATCACTTCACACAAACATCCGGAGAACTTTTAACAATCGAATTGTGCATTAGAAATATTCTCAGTATTACCCGTCAATTGACTCATTTTTTTTGGCATGTGATATGTGGGTCCGGAATATTAAATTGCATTGAATGAAATGGAATCCGATTGATAAATTTCACCACTTCGAATGGTTCATTTCGTTTATTCATTTTAGATGCTTGTAATTGAAATGTCGATTTAAATGGATACAGTAACAATTCCAGTCAACTCAGGCAAAAAAAAAATGTTTTGCATGACCCACCCTCCCCATGAACAAGGGCTTTTTAGCCAAGAGTTCCAAAAAAAATGGAATTAGTTCAGATGAATTATTTTCGGTTATTTTCAATTGTTTTTACAAGACACCATTCAATTTTGTGTCGTTAAACACGTACAAATTAGAAACGCTTGTTATCGTCGATGTACACACGCCACTTTTTCGTAAATATTTTATTAACAAATAAAATGTATTTTTTTTTTGTTATCATTATATCAATAAACTAAAACATGTAAATAAATATTCAGGGAAAAAATGGTAAAAAACGGGAAGACCATTGTAACCCAATTGACATGAAAGCATGAATGGCATGCGGTATTTTCATTGTTGTGTGCACACATTTGTATTGCTCATGTTCATGACGAGCAGGAAGAAGAAGAAGTATAGAAATAAACGTAGTGGCAAACCGTGTCTCTGGTCTAACGAAAATGTGTTTGTTGTATTTAAGGTTTTGCTGTGTGCTTCGTGCGTTCGACTAGTGTAATGACAAGAACGGACATTTATTTATGCTTGGTGCTTCGATGTCATTGCAAAATTAAAGGGATAAGGAGTTATGCTTGCATTCCGTGGCATTTTTGTCGTTAATAATGGTCGATGGTGACGAGGCTACTTGAGCACAGAAAATAAAACCATTTCAATATTGCATTCGGCTGGATCATTTGAAATGCAACGGTATTCTTGAGCGACTTTTGATCGGTTTATTAATTTTATTGTTACTGTTGTTGTCGTCGTTGTCATTTATTTTTGTTATTCACGCCAATCAAATGTATGTGCCCTGTAACGAGAAGCAGGTGGGAAAGAGAGAGAGAGAGAGAGAGAGAGAGAGAGAGAGAGAGAGAGAGAGAGATAGAGTGTGTGTGTATCTGTTTGTTATTATGCGGAACAAAACTACATGAAATGGGTAACGGATTATTTGTACGGCGGCAGCGATGGCGGCGACGACGGCCATGTGGGCCGTTTCGTATTTTATTCATTGAAAAGGGATGAAAATATCAGATATGAGCGCAACACCTTCTGACTATTTCATCGCATTCACAACTCGCATGACATTTTCACATCTGCTCGAAAAGCACAGATAAAAATAGAATTATCGAAATATTCTAGGTCAATCAATAGCATTATTTAAAACAACAAAGGACCATACAATATCAGCCATGCTCACGTCGAAAGCGAAATTGATGAAACAAGATACACCACCAGTGTGCCGTACAACAAACTCACAACCCCAAATGCACACACAAGCAAGCAAAAGCGAGCGTTAAAATTCCGAAATGAAGTGGCTATCGCGTGTTTTTTTTCCATTTATTGGCCGTTACAATCATTCATAAATATGGGTAATATTGCGTAATTATGAGTCTTCCGAAAAGTATCCAATTTGAGCGAATCAAGTGCATAAAATACCGAGTGTAAATTGGAAACAACACGTTCTTTACATTTACTAAGTCGTACCACTTTAGAATTTGGAAAAATGTTAATTTTTTAGAATGCTTTTAAATTATTTCGATGTGTGTTCCGAACTCCCCCACCTTCCCCTAGTATATTTATGATTGTTTTTTTTCGTACTTGTATTTATATTTGAAGTTTGCCTCGGGCACTGTATGCCCAATACACGGAGTTAGGGTTAACCCTTTGATGCACAATTTTTTGTTTTTGAATCATTTTGATATATGTTTTGTGCCACGATAAATAGAGAAAAATCTTATACTTAGATTTTTGAAAAATTGCGTATTTGTCGAGAAAATCGGAAAAGTGTCAAAAGTGTCAAATAAAAGCTTGAAAAAATTAAATTTCATAAAACTAATGATGCAGAAAGCTAAATTGATGTGTTTTGATCCTTCGAGTCCTAGTTTGACAATTGAAAAGAATGTACAAACCCACAAGATAAGAGGAGGAAAAATGAGGAATTCTGCTATAATTTCGCATTTTTTTTACAGCAGTACATGAACAGAAAAAACTTTCCATTCAGCCAACCATTTGTAGCCTGTAAAGTATCAAATGAAAGCTAGTCCCTTCATTTGTTTCCAAACAAGAATGCAAAAATGTTCAGTGGTTTCATAGCTATAGCGTCTGTCGTATCTGGTTACTTTAGGAACCGATATGTGATAAAGGGTTAAGGAAGCTGGTGTCTAATTTGACAAATATTTGAATCAATATGGAAAAAACATTTGTTGCGAAAAACTCAACATGTGTTGGAATTTGGCACTTTCAAACATTTTTCTACGTAAAAATCAACTCAGTTTTCTCTGTGTAGTTTTTTACTTCGGGGATTTTTATACATTTGATCAGACTTCAAGTCTATTCGAATAAATTCGAATTTCGAAATAACTTAGAATTTCAATATTAGGCTCAAAAAACATTATTCGAAAATTATTTTTTTAGAGAAGGACGCAATGAGTGATTCTCCCTTACAATATAAATAAATGCATAGTTCAATTTCTTCATCAGCGACTTTCGGTGTTCTTCCGATAATCCAGGTTGGGTCCGATTTGGTCCAAAAATTATAAATATTTAAAAAAAAACGCTAGAGTGTAGACATCCAGTAGATATTCGTATTTTTTCGATTTTCCGACTGCCATGCACCACAGTTTTCAGAAAAGTTGTGAAAAACATTGACACGTTCCAGCAACTCGCAATATTTTATGCAGAAAAACACATTTTGCATCGAAAATGTAAATCTTCCTTTTTTACCATTGATCGTTCACTTCGAATAATTTTCGAATATTTGATGAATGTTCTCTTTTGATTTGAGTTGAAAAAAACTAACAGTCAAGGTGCGTAAATGAAATTCAGTTCAACTCCTTACATTTGTTAACAAACAAACATGTAAATTTTTTTTAGTGGATTCGTAACTGCAGCATTATCACTATCTAGACTAATGACTACACACTAAATCTAATCCTTTTCTGCTTACTATTACCGCTAATATGTCCTGTATAATTTCAAATGATTATTTTCGAAACTGAGTTGCAATTTCGAAATGACGATTTTCGAAAGAAAATTTGTTCGAAATGGAGTTCCAAGTAAAAAAATTGCATTTTTGGAAATAATTTCGAATATCAAAAGCAAAAGTACAGATTAACCGTAGCACTAACAATCTGTGTCATTTTTCTTAAGGTGTCTCCACTCGTATTAACTTTTTATTATGAATGTTAAGTTGCGTGCAACGCCCTTCAATGTAAAAACAATACAAGTGGAGGATGATATACGGGATTTATCTGTACTTTCCCGAAAATGAATTCTAGATCGAACTATGAATTCTCGAAAATGGGTTCGAATTTCGAAATGATAATTTACGAAATTCAAATTGAAAAATATATTTAAAATTTCAATATTGATCCCAAAGAACATTATTCAAAAATTGTTTCAAAAATTTGATTTCACATTTGATTTCAGTGCAAGTACACTTCAAATTTCGAAGTATGTAAGTGGTACACATCTGTTTACAGAAAAATCGTAATTTGGATCTGTACCTTAAAGAAAAGGCATTTAAGGTGGTGAGAAGTATGGTACACTTGATTTAAAACATGCGAATCATCAATTCTTGAGGTCACAATTGATTTCAGTGCAAGTACACTTCAAATTTCGATTTATTGTAAGTGGTACACATCTGTTCACAGAAAAATCGTAATTTGGATCTGTACCTTAAAGAAAATGAGTTTGAGATAGGTACGATTCGCGGAACAATTAGTATTTTTCATTTTAAGAGGAGTACATTTAATTTCAATACATCATACTTAATTTCAACGCAGTCAAAATTGTTGGTACAATTATTGTTACGAAAATCCGTAAGAGATATATGTACCTCGAACTAATTCTTGTTTTCTTACACAATCTGCCAAACCAGGAAGGTACAGCTGTTATACTGATTGGTTTCGTTCATTTCCAGAGTAGTACAATTCATATCAATCCACCAATTTTTATTCAAAAGCTGTTGCCACGGTCTGGTACGCATTTCGTTAAGAAAAATCGTAAAACGGATTTGTACTTTGAGCCAAATCTTGGTTCGAGCGATAACTCGCCAAATAAGACCGATATTGCTATCAATTATATTTTTAATTTATAGTACACATTTGGTACAATAACACTAATCCCATTTCGACCGTGGATTTGTTCAAATTGCATACTTTACCGTATACCTCGTAATTTTGAAAATGCTCAAATCTAGACCCTCCAATTACTCGAAATCTTGATAAGTACACTTTTTTTGAAATGCGGTACGTTTTAGTACACATTAAGTACAATCGATTTAGTTTGGTTTACCCCCCATTACGACGATGTCGTCGTAATTTTGAGTATGCATCCGATATTCATCGTTATTTTTTTATGAGTTTTCATAATCAAATTGTAATTTATTTTAACACATTTTCTTAGAAACCGAAAAAAAGACATAAGCAATCGTGAATGATTCAGCTTATTCGAAATTTGAATTTGGATCCGCAATTGATATAAACGTGGGTAGAATAATGCCACTAGAAAGAAATTCTATTCAAATAATCAATCGTTTAATTTACGTCAATCAGTTATGGGTTAATGAATCGATCTACACTACCGTGCAAAAGTTTGGAACCACTAGGTATTCTTCATACAAATTGACCATTTTTGGTGGACTCATTAACATATTTCGGAAACACCTGCACTCTTGATATTTTGTGCATAGTTTCTAAAACTTTTCAATAGTAAATCATAAAGGTTTCATCAAAAAATATTCATGAATTTCAAAAATATAGCAATTTGAATTTGTACTGTGTAAAAAATGATCAAATTTTTATGAAGATTAAAACAGATCAAATTCAAATTGATATATTTTTTAAATTCATGAATATTTTTTGATGAAACCTCTGTGATTTACTATTGAAACGTTGTAGAAACTATGCACAAAATATCAAGAGTGCAGGTGTTTCCGAAATATGTTAATGAGTCCACCAAAAATGGTCAATTTGTATGAAAAATACCTAGTGGTTCCAAACTTTTGCACGGTAGTATATACACGTTCGATGCTTCCAATGGCATGTCTCTGCGCCCACGTCTGGTTAAAGAACTAAACATGCTTTCCTGAAAATTGCTCAACATAACATTTCGATTGTCCGAATTATCATTGTTATCGGACTAAACGTTCGTTTTTCTGGTTTTTTCAATTTGAATTTAGAGTACCACTATGTTCGATGAATGCCGAGATCCAGAAAACCAATGAGTTCTTATGCTTTCCGGAGATCAAGGTAATGGTTATGTTAGCGAATTGGCTGAAGGACACACATACATTCGGGGCCGTTGTAAACAGCTAGGCAATTTGTACAGTCCGAGTCGAGATGATGGCCGCTACTTTTCTAATTCCGATTACGAATTTTTATTACACACCGATGAATTTGGATCGCCAGTAGATGCTATCGAAAAACAATCTGAGGACTTATGTCGTCGGGTGTCAATGAGTACGTACTTTATGTGGCTATTGACATTGTTTACGTTTATCGAAATGTTAACATATGTTTTCCGTTGTTTGATCTCGTTTTTCCTGTTGTTATTTTTGAATGGATTATTGTGTAGCACCTGGCGATGTAAGCACTGATCACGCTTGTAAAACGCCTACCAATGAAACGTCAACACCATTGCCCAGTGCCAGTACCGATTCCAGTGCAAGCGATAGACGATCATCGCGTGACATTGGTATACAGGCATTCAGTATTGAAATCGAAGAGGAGAAAAAGAAATTAATCGATGGCAAGAATGCGAAAGCATCGCCGCTACCACCGCCGTCACAAGCCAAAACCGGCGACAATAAACGCAGAGAATTTCGCACTTGTGAGTAAATGCATGCTATTTTATGCCCTAGTCGGTTATACTTAATTATCATAATAATTCAATCTGTTGTTCAATTTCCTAAATGTAGGCTCAATTCCGAGTGAACCATACTTTTTCCGTGAACATCGACCGTCGATTCTGTTGCGGAGAGATTCGTGCCATTTTCATAAGCTAATTTCGCCACGAAATGAAATAATAGTCGGTGAGTTAAAGTCGATAAAATTTAAAACATACACGAGATTACATCTGGGTTTCTAAAATGAATTCGTTTTGAAATTGACAGCACATTGCCCGGGAACGACCCCATTAATGGAATACGCAGACAGTTTTGAAACATACAAGTCTCATGATGGTAAGGATCAACAAATGTGTCCTTAAAATCGAACGCTATTTGACATCTACACCCAAAATAAACGAATTTCGATCAAAGCTTAATGCCATAATCGTCAATCAACGTGTGGTGAAAGTCCAAATGGCTTACGATTCACACATCCTCCCCCTTTCTCCATTAAATTTGATCTCTAACTACAAAAAATACTAATGTAAATTTATTTTTAGGATCGAGTTCCATTGAAATGTCCAGCGACGAATTTCAAAAGCCATGCTACTGTTTTGATCACTGTCATGATAGCATGGACAGTGCCAAAGCAGGTAAATTACCCATATCTGATTACATGTTATTGACGATATTGACATTATTGTACCAACGATTTATGAAAATAATATGCTTCTAATATTACACACAGCACATCGGCACAGTACAAGTTCGTCAGATAGTTCAACCATAACCAAAATTGCAGTCGAAAATGCTGAGGCGTTAGCAGCGGCAGCGGCCGCAACCGCACCAACAGTGCGTCGTCCAAGTAAATGGAAATCCAGTTTGGTGTATTTTATGGATCCATGCATCGAAGATTGTACGTTAGCAAAGTGTTGTTTTCATTGTTGCTGTTAAATTGCACACAAATGACTATAAACTCAGCACTAAATCACCACTTCAATTTGGGCCCATCAACAATAATACCAATCATCTTAATATGCTTGAAGAAAAAAAACCAACGCGATTCCTTCCATAATGATTTCATTTTATTCGAACTAATATTCGATAGAAAGTGTGGAAAAGTCATGCATTTCTTTTTGTCCACGCAAAATTATCCACATTCGTAATGATGTTCCTATGAAATTGACGAAAAAAATTTCTATGAAAATAATGATGGGCGAACAGACCCAATGCCCAATAAAGTGGCATTCTTTTCGTCTAAACGTTTATTTTATCCGAATTCGCTTGCTTTAATAACGAAAAATTTGTAATGACCCCCCATGTATGAGTTGTCCGTCATAAAAAAAAGCGCTCAAGTTGGTAGGAAGATCGAAAATTTCAGGTCATGTGTTTCAAAATCTATTCAAAATCGCATAAAAATGATCTAAAACTGGTGATAAGTTGATGCAATCAGTCGATGCAACAATGTATCATCGATGGGAACAGTGCTGTTTTTATTGCATTGATTCATATGTGCTACAAAAATTTCACCATATTTTGCGTTTACTGTTTTCCTCTTCCATTTCCGAAACGATTCTATTTAGCAGCGGAAAATACGGCCGAAGGAGAGTATCATGAAAGCGAACAAGAGAAACCGTTGCTGAAACAACATGACAAACGGACCGAGGCTACCGTAACTACTTCATTTGAAAAACGTTCAAATTTTCGCAAGAAAAGTGTTGACGATTCAAAGAGTCGATCTGTGGAGGGTTCTACCGCACGAAATGTTGAAGGTATTGAACTAGCAAGTGAAGTGTGTCCATTTGGTTTAGCCAAAAATTTAGAAAAGCAAATTTGTATTATACCATCACGAAAGAAAAGTAAGTGTCTAACATCACGCTTTAAAAATGCAAACAAATACCATATTTCGACATCAAATCGTTTTGATTTTTTTTTTTTTTTGGTTTTGTGTTTCTATATGTATTTTTGCCTTTTGGATATGATGCTTTTGAGTGTAAAAATTGAAAAAGGAGCGAAAAACTGTTTGAAATGAAATGAGAGAGGAAAAGATGTAAAGCCATTGTTTGATTGTAATCAGTACACATCAATTCAATGTAATATTCATTTACACACCATCACACAGTTAGAATGGTTCGTTCTCGTTCGTCCTCTTAGCAAAGCGATTTATGCAGTCAACTCAAATGTATTACGTAGTGTTCGCTTTAGGAACGAAAATGAACCACGAAAATCATATTTTTTGTGTGCTTTCAAATGAATGATAACGTATTTTTCATTGCCGTTTTTTTTTCGTACACAATCATATCAATTTGTCTTGGGGATAGCTAATAAATAGCCTTTTTTTAAAAAAATAATTGTTGATTTTTTTCTTGGTTTCTTCCAACTTTTACACATTGTTTTTCATAAAATTTCTTTCATTTTTTTCCAACTTTCCGTTTTGCAGAATCTTCCGGCCGACCAAGCTTTCTGAAACTTGTGACATTTATCCTTATAGGCTCAGCAATATTAATAACGAGTGCAGCAATAAAAGAAGCTTATTATTAACAATCACACACGAAATATTTATTTTAAATTTAATTACTATGTACGCGATTTAATGCTGTCATTATAAAGTAAAATGAACAATTAAAATAGAACACAAATATCGGTCATTATGCGATTTATAATTAATATCATGGGTCATAAGCAATGAAGGATGAATAAAAATACACACACAATTACATTCATCATAAATATTCAAAGATTACTTTCTCTCTCTCTCTCTCTCTCTCTCTCTCTCTCTCTCTCTCTCTCTCTATCTCTTTATCTCTTTCTTTCTATTCTGAACTTAGTTCAATTTGGCGAAATAAAGTCAAACACATTGCAATAAAATGTACGAATTAAGTTTCTTTGTGTAATATATATCAAATCTTGATAATTATAGTGATAGTTACTATTAAAAGAAAAACGAAGCGAAACGGAACAAAAAAAAAACAAAAAATTTCATTTCTCTCATTGTTGAATCCAATGTTAATTGTTTGTTTTAGTTGTGCAAAAAATAATTGTTCGGCTTCGTTTCAATTATCACCACAAAAAATCGATTTAGATTTTAAACAAAAAAAAACCACCATAAGAGTTTCATTATTATCAACAAACACATCAGCTATTGTAAATAAAGATTCTTTCAAATAAAACAGCGGAAAAAACAGATTCATTGACTTTTCTTCTCTTTTGAAGATTCACTGATTTCAGGAACTGTAATTCTATGGAGAAGGTGAATGCGGAGGAAGAGACGGCTGACGACTCTCTTCCTCAAATGAGAATCGAAACTTCATCAGACACATTGTTAATTGAAAATGAAGCGATTGTCATATTTTGGGTGTTTGCGATCTTATTCTTATTGTGAAATTCATTTTTTGGTTCAAAGAACGATTTTCAATAAGCTTTCAAATCTTTTTCAACGTAAAATAGTTTGATGAAACCAAAACCCCTCCTCCTTGCCCACTTCTGCTTTTAGTTATTTTTTCTTTGTGATTTACCGTTTTTGATCTGCTTTGAGCAACAAATCTTTTTGTTTCACTGTGTTGCGATCGCACATTTTGAAACCAGTCTGATTTCAAATGAATTAAATTGAACATTTTTACAACACAGAATTCGAAAAGCAGTCCAATAAATAATTGTTCTAATGACAGTTTCAAGAATTCTTATTGTTTGACGTTGATCTGTGATTGATATACAAAGTAGTATCATGACTGATTCGATCATGCTCTTGAATGATAAGATCCAATCATGTTTTGTTTCAATCGGTACTCAAAGAATAATATTTCAAACTTGAATATGCATTAACCAGATAAACTCGAAAATCAAGAATTCCCCTACTTTATTCTTGAAAATTAAATCATGTTTTTTTTTTCACTTGCGATCGACTGATATAAATACTAATTCACTCCTTAGATGTTAGTATATATAAATAAACGTTTGTGTTGGACAGAATTGCCGTAGACGAAAGAGTTAATTGCGGTCGACTAAACGCAAATTGTAATTTATATAAATAGATTATGCATTGCTGTGAAATAAATTCACAGCGAATAGACGTGGTAAATACAGTTGAATTTATAGTGTGTTGCAAATAGGTAATTGCAAAATTTGCGAAACGAATTCAATCAATATAATGGAAGTGATTGAATAGTCGGTATTTGCATAGCTAAAAAAGAACAGCAAAGCTATTTATTTCGATTAGAAACGTGGACTCTTGTTAAAGAATAATAGGTGCTTTTTCAAAACAGTGCGAAGAAAAATAACGGTGTGCATTGAAACTCAACACATTTGGACGTTTCTTTCAACATTGTTACAAAATTGGTTGCATACCTCATTGAAAGCTTATCAAACATCACGAAAAAAAAAAAGACGCAAGAAATGACCACCGTTCTGTAATTCAAAAGAATGAGCTCCTTTCTTTGGGTCGTTTTGTTTGTGTGTAGAAATTTTGAAGGATATTTTCGAATAGGCATTACCCCATGAAAACCATTGATTTCATTTTAAATACCGAATATTTGTTGGAGTTCTTTTTTCTTTCTCTGTCCGGCGAGTCTTAAGCCACTTAACAATAAATAATAATAAATGGTTCTTTGCATTCATTTTTAATTACCATCGCAATCTGGAGTCGAGTTGGTAAAGAAACAATGAATCGAATAAGGGCATTTTGCAAGCTTCAATGAGAAAGGTAAAGGTCATCCATATGCAAGTTTCGTTTTTTCTTTTCTTTTCGGTTTGTGTTCGTTTGGCCATATTTTCTTTTGTGCTCCACTCTCTCCTTCTCTCTCCGACCGATTTGCAAAGTGAACACAAAAATAAAAACGGCGAATAAAGAATGGAGCCCGTAAGCCGCCATTAATCTTTTCCATGATGTGGTTTTGTTTGTGTATTGTGGTTCAAGCTTAACATTTGCATACCTATAATTTATTCACTTACTAATTTCAATTTGTAAACAAAGAACGATTTTCAAATGAAATTCAAAACAAATTGCTATTTAAATTAAACGAACAAATAAAATGCGAGCCCAAACACGCGTCTTGCATTTCGTTTTATAATGCAACTGACCATTGCAAAAGATACGCTGATCAATTATGTAAAGTGATAATGCTTCAATTGGCAGTGACTTTTGAAAAAGCAGGAAGACGAAGAAGACGAAGGTGGGAAACGAAGTGAATTTGCAGGAGTGTGATTTTGTTTACCCATTCGATGACTTTCTGTATGCATATGTGATTTGAGGAGTTAGTCGGTCAAAATGCAATGGGCCACGCTTGTCGATATTAATACCTCCAACTGCTAGTAGCACGTTTGAAGTTGGCTTTGTTGTGAAGGTGCTTGAATGCGTCATTGCTTTACTACCAGTTTTTTTCTGTTTCATGGCGTAAGCAAATGACGCACATCAAACGATTATTCTGGCATCAATCTGAGGTCAAGCACTTTCTTTTGGAGCGGTAGACGCACATTTTATTTGTGCGAAAATTTTGTGCGGTCATCCGGCCCGGTCCGGAGTTTTATTAATTACATGCAAACAAATAATTTGGCTTAGCATGCACTTGTCAAACGAGTGAAATGCTGAAATTGTCGCTAAAATTAAGCGAACCAACAATTAATCAACAATTAAAACTCCAACCGAAAAAAAAACAACTGTACACTGATCACGAAATATCTTGGTAACGTTTCGTTAGAAATGTTCATGAGTAAAAGTGTGTCATTGTTATGGATTCGTTCGGAATTTTCACCCTCGCTCGTCGCAATTAAAGTTTAAAATCAAAATGCTGGTCAATATTGACGGTCAATCGGAATTCGTAACGGAAATTATTATCTGTAACAAACTTGACCTGGCAACTGGGCGCGTGTGCGGAAGTGCTACGTTGAGACCATCAACCAGCCACCGTTTCTTAGGGAAAATGCTTACGTCACTAGTTGCGTGTTTTAAATTTGTTTTCAAGTCGAGAGAGAGAGAAAGAAGAAAAATACAAAGAGAAAGTGAGAGTTGTAAACATGTTGAAATAGCTCAAATGAGCTCCCGAGAACACGACTTGGCTTTCCTGTGAGCTGTGTCCAATTGGCTGTTGGCCGCCTTAGATTTACACAAAAGATAAAAAAAAGCAGGAACCAAAATATATGTGTGTTTTGATTTCAATGCGAATAAATACACAGTTGAAATGAAAAAGGGGAGAAAAAAAGTGGTTCTCGAAATGAAATCGAAATGAAACGATTTGTGCGCACGGAACGTACAATTTCCAAGAGCCAACACTCTACAGTTACGATCAAAACAGCGAGATTTATCGAAAATCTATGCAAATTTCAGCGAAATAATTAAAAGCACTGTAAAATTATCTTCTTCACATGCACCGATTTCGTTCTCCCTTTTTTTTTGGTGTACCTATTTAAATTGGATCTCGTGTCATTGGCTATCATATGCACGGGCCGAAGAAAAAAATGAACTGAAATTTTTCCACTAAAAATGACACACTTGGTGATTCTTCAGAATTTGCTGCTTATTTTAAAATGACTGTGTTTAAGGTCGCTTATCTAATCCTCAGTGCGATCGAAGTTCCAAAAAGAAAGTGTAATTTTCGCTTGCATTAGCATTCAGCGTTGTTCCATCTTCTTACCATTTACAACGTCGTATGGAACAGTGCCGCCATTCAACAGATTGCCGTTAACCGTGTGCGCCACTTGAGCCAAGCTACTTTACATTGGGATTGAATGCGTGGCATTGAAATGGGTTGCACTTGAAAGTGTGGCAAACAATTTCCGAAACAACAGAAAACACCAAATTCCCGGATAATTCGATTTATAATCAACGTTGCAAGCCATTCAAAGTTATTCCAATTTGAAATTCAAACAAACAAACACGTTCAATCCCAAAAGAGAACGAAAAAACGAACAAATTCGATCGAAGCATTAATTGAAATATCGGGCGTTCGTGCCAAAGGCCTGGGTACCTTTAGCACAAGGAATATGCACGTATCAGCAGGAATGTCTCCAGATCACATTAATAAACAACTACCAAAATCGAAACTAGTATATAGATTACAAATCGCAAAAGTTCGTTCAAAATCATGATTGTAATAAAAAAAAAACGAGAAAATATTAGTTTCGTATTTGCGATCGGATTTTATGTTAGTTGTTGGCGAGCAACGAATATAAGAGCGTATTCGTATTATAATATACATATATACATATATTTATACGAATTCATTGTTTTATACCCATATACGTACAGAAATATGGCAAAAGCCAAAATCTGAACTCATTATTATTAATCGCCTACGGTACGAATAACGTATAAAAATAAAGTGAACGTTTGAAGAAAATACATTATTTGCACGAACATAGTTCTTTTTTCGCGTTTCGTTGCTTTTTTTTCCTCTTCTTTCTCTTGTTTTTGTTTTCTTGTTCTCGACAATTTTTCCCCACATCGTACGATGAAAAATAACAGACAAAGCTCCCCCTTCTGCATACTATGCCAATGTGAGCTTATTTACCAGCTTTCTTAAACTCACGTGTGTTTGTGTTTGTGTGTGCAAAACATGTTGGTATTTTATTTTCTTCTCTGGATTTCCTTCATCGTTGCTACCGTTTCATTCGTTTTCACTTTATTTACAAATTTCATTTTTATTCGACTCCAGGAGTGTTGCTATTTTACCACTCTTTGCTCGAGACTCTCTCGATTAATACGCATGCGTTTTTTTATGGTAATTTATTTATTGGTTTTTAACATTATTTTTCTTTTCTCTCTGATTACTTAGATCACGTTCTCTTTCGTTTCTGCGATTTAATTTCACTTTTCTCGTAGTTTTCCATTAAGACGGATGTGTTTTTAATACTCGTTGCAAAATACACACAGTTTTTAAATCGCGTTTTCTAACCGAAACCACTCAAAGCAAAAGGCAGCTCAAAACGTAACGGTTTTTCTTGGTCTCATGCTCACTCTGAATCATTTAAATTGAACAAACATTTGGAATAAATTGCAGTTACAGTTTTACCTTTTTATTTCGGGTATTCGTTTGTCTGGTTTTTGCGAGAAAACGAAAATCATGTGGATTTTTATGGAAAAATAATTGATTTTGGTGCATTATTATCGAAATAAACGATCATAAAACTACCGTGAATCATTTTTTTTTAGTTTGAGCCCTTGACGGATTAACTCAAAGACGAACATTTTCCAATCAGTGATTTACAATAGGAATAAAGTAAATTTTCATTCGCATATCGAGAAGAAAAAAAAAAGAAAAAAAAAACCAATAAAAATGGAACCACTTAAAAGATTCACACAATGCGGGAGTTTGACTATGCTATTTGCCGTTTTCATAGTGTTGTTCGGTGTAAGCTCAACAGCATTAACTACGTTCGGTAAAAGTCCACAATCACCACCGCCGCCTCCACCACCGCCCACAGGTTTGAAATAAATCCAACCGAGTTATTGTTTATTTTCTTTTGTTTATTTAAATTTTGCTTTTGTTACTTTTGTTATGCGTCTATTTTTAAAGTAATAATCAAATTGAGTTTATATGAATAAAAACGGAATAAACGCTACGCGCATTCTACTTTCCCTTTCGACCGGCCTTGAGAATTGTGTACGGTCGATCCTCAATAATATCCTGGATGGAAATATCGAATGTTTCGAATATTTCGTTTTGAACAACATTGAGAATATGATTTACAGCAATTTTCAAGGAGGTTTCACCTCCCACTCGACATAGATGCAACAGAAGGCGAACTGAAATTTCTCTAACCTTCGTTTACATTTTTATTGAGTCATTATCTAAACGCATTTTCATTTTTTTTTTCGAACGGTTTGTTTTGTTTATTTAGCTAGAGCACGTGAATGTCAAACACACAATGATTGCGGCTCGATACAACACACCAGCTGCGTGCGTGACGGCGCGGAAAAAACGATGAGATGTCTATGCGGTAATAACAAAGTACCGCAAAATGGAGCCTGCAAGGATACGGTAAAACGTAAGTTGATTTACGGGATGTATACCCAAACTGTTGATTTACGCTCTTGTTTTTCTTAATCAAGTGAATTTGTTTATGATACACTCCCGTTCGACTCAAATAGACGACTGATTGCATGATATCGATTTGAGTGAAAATTGATGATCTTCGAAAAATTATGAAAATACTACTAAAAAAAACGAGTAAATTCATTGTCCACCGATCAAATGGCACTGATAAACGATTCGAATATGTTCAGTAAGAAATTTCTGCAATTCCCATTGGATAACACTTACTGCGCATTTCATTCAAGCGACATTTATTTCATTTCAAACAATATTAAATTGCTACTCACCCTCTCTATGTATTCAGTCACTATTTGCATCGAAATGTCCGTTGATATCAACGATCTTATCTGCTTTTCACGGAAAAAGTGAAGCGGCACTCAAATTTCCTTTTCCGAAACTTCAAATTTAACGCAATTTAACAGTTGATTCTGCGAGTAAAAAAAACCAATATGCTTCCTTTATGGCAAATTTTTCTTGTACATTTCCCTATTTATGAATTCATTTCTTTTTGATGTGCGAAGCGTGTATGTGTGTGTGTGTAGAATACACGGCCATTTTTAAAGTACGAATTAATTTTATGCTATTAAGTACTTAGCATCTGTTTGAGAATTTGCATAAAATTTATTACACGTATTCCTGCTAATGTCGCGCTCTGCGCCCAGCACCCGATTCTAGCCATTTGAAATAATGTACAGGCATCGAATGAAAGAAAAACGGGCACATTCAATACAAGTGGCAAAGCAAAAATTGACCAGACGGTCAAATTGAAGTTTGAATCGAGTTTTACATGAATCGACAGGTTATATGCGAATGAATCGAAATGGCAAAATATTGCGTGTCTGGTTTTAAGTATCATATGAAAATAAAATAAAAACCGCACTAATATGGTCTGGGTCTCATAACGAACTCTATGCCAACGGTCAAATCGTTTTCCGCCTGAAGAAAAAAAATACCAATGCGAAAAATGCGGACAAAAAACCTCCAAAATTACTGGTATATGAGGCAATAAATTTCACCAATCATTCTGCCTGGCCAAAAAAAAAATGTGTGGCCATTTACACACAATCTCGAAAAAAATTGAGGTGTACAATCCGCCGTTCCTAAATACACATATCACACAGTTGCGATCAAAAAACGAAAAAGGAAACGTGTCGAATACCATAGAAAATCGTATGAAAAGAAATGAACGCAAAAGGCAGAGCAAATTGTAGCCGGCAATGTTGAGACGCATTTATTTGGCGAATATTTGCCACTTGTTTGGTTGAACGCGAGTCGTGCGCGATAAAGGTGTACCACAATCATTCAATCCGTATGGTGTATATATTAACGACTTCAGAATTATGTAAATTGGAAATAATAAAAGTATAAAGAAAAGTCGACGGTTACGTTTTTTTTTGCTCGCTCTCTTTCTCCCTCTCCGTTTCACCAGCAGCCACAACTGCTCATTGTGCTTAATTCAAACGCTTTATTAAAATATCAAGTCAATTGTGAGAACAAGGATCGAACCATACACACCAAACACTGAGTACAGTAAAAATTATAACAGAAGAAAAGAGAAACACACATGGAATCTTTTTAATCCATATTGGCTTCGACGTTGGTTTTTTTGTTTTCTTCATCACTTATTGTACACATATTAAATGTTCATACGGAAATACAAAACCGGACTGCATAGTGTTTGCGTTACAATAGTTAATAGAGTTGTCAAAATTCGAGCGATTCTCTTGACTTGTGTCTTAATCAGTTTGGAAATCGAAAGCTTGCCACCAGATTGACCTATAAAACGTGACCACCTTATCAAACGAAGGAAATAAAAACAAATGGATGGATGATTGGATGAAGAAAATTCACACAGAAACAACAATCGTTTTGATGGAAACGTGAATGAGAAAGCTCAATCAAACATAAGCGATTAAAAGTTTAATAGAATTATGAGAATGGTAATTAGGTGAAGAAAGAGATGAGGAGAGAAAGAGCAACTACCTGCCCTGTTGATTTCATATTGTGAAACTTTGCACTGGACAAAGTCAAGAAACAAACTCACCTCCATCTGATATGATTGTTATGTTTTCCATTCTTTTTCTTCTTCTTCGTCCATTCTTCTTGAACAAATGTTTATTGGTGTGTTTTTTTTCCTATGGCTTCCAATATCGAATTAATTGTTCAACAAAATCTACATTAGACCACGGCCCAACCAATCACATACAAACATATACAAACACACAAATTATATAATTATTTCGCGTGAATTTAATTCATCGACAACTTTTCTTTCCATCGTCGAATATTTTGCAGTATTTATTTTTCTTCTTGTTGTTATTCTGAAAGTCAAAGTCATTTTCTATGAAAATTTACGCAGTTTATTGAGTGTATTTTCCCTTCGAATATTTTAATTGATGCAAGTTTAGCAGTGATTTCAATGTCATTTGGTGACATTTGCTGTGTTCATCCATGCATTTATTTTGTAAATCTTAAATAAATAAATACCCGCTGATGATTCATTCATGGCGAATGCATACATTGAACAGTTATAATTAACCCAATTGAAAAATGTTTGTTTGTTTTTTTTTGTCTTTCCGCTTTATTTTAGAATTACGTCATCAGTGCACAGACGATGCGTCATGCGGCGATGAGCTGATTTGTGGACTAGAAAATCCTAACAAAACGACCGGATTTACTCGAAATCCAAGTGCAATCGTACCACAGAAGATTTGCTTGTGTGACGAAAGCTCCGGATTCACGGAAGATGTCGAAGATAATACCTGCAATGGTAAATAAATATATATTTCATTCACAAGCGTCAATGCCATCGTTGTTTTTATCAAATTGATGCATCAGCCATAATCCAGCTTACGAATTGAGAACAAAGTTGAAATGAATTAGCATGTAGATCGTAAAACATTTAGAATGGGGTTGATATTACTACTTATACCCTTTTTTGAAAACTCGATCGTGCATTTTAGCAGACAAATTGAATTACTGTTTGTGTGGTTTTGACATTTCATTGAAGATAAGCAAATTTTTTCTTTACCCTTGTGTTCTATCGGCGCTATTCTAAGAGTGCAGCGCCTTTATTCGCGCTATCCATTATTCCTCTTTGAACATTTTCTAAAACTATCACAGCAATATACAAGAGCGCAAATCTGTTTGTCTGCGCTCTCGCATATTCCTCTTTGCTGCTATACGAAACAATGAACACAGTGCAATGGTTACTAGATGTTGTTTCGTATAGCAGCAAAGAGGAATATGCGAGAGCGCAGACAAGCAGATTTGCGCTCTTGTATATTGCTGTGATAGTTTTAGAAAATGTTCAAAGCGGAATAATGAATAGCGCGAATAAAGGCGCTGCTCTCTTGGAAGAGCGCCGAAATAGCACAAGGGTACTAGGACGATTTCAAAGGTGGATTTTTTCAAATTTTCAACAAAAATTTAATTTACGACTTTCAATATTGTAATTGAGCAACGCCGATTTGCAACATAAAATGGAAACAATACAAAAACTCTTCAAATGAAGCTTTACGTTTAAATGATGACAGTTAAAATCTAGGATCACACATACATTTCAACTGTTATTCAACTATTTCTTATTTGATTTTATTTGATTTACAGATTCCGGTCGTCTTATAGCGGGTATTTTCATACCATTGACATCACTTATCCTGGGAGTTGTTGCATCAAGACGACAATCGATATATTAATGCTAATCGCAGCATTCGCAAAATGAAAAAAAGAAACAAGAGAAAAAATGTTAGCAATAAATTTTATCAACTTAATCTATTGTTTTCCAAGCGCTGCTCAGTATAATTCAACAACAACAACAACATCCAAGTACCTTATTCGAATACTATTCCCACTAAATCACGAACAACTTGAATCAACAACAACAACAACAACAACAAAAGCAACCACAACAAATATATCGATAAGAATTCGATGATTAAATCTTTATTATTGCTCACAATCAAATTATTTCTGCGTTATTACTGAGCTAAGTGCACCGTTTTAAATCTAGATTGTACATTTTATTATACTTTGTATAAAACTTCTAAAAACTGCTGCATCGCTGAATTGAATTTTCGAAATAAATTCAAAGTACATAAAAATGGTGCGGTGATAAAGCGTTTATAGAATTTGAAGAAAAAACATAATCTTTTTTTCGCTTGTGCACCAGTTAATCAAAGAAGGTAAAAAAAAAGTTATGGAAGCAACCAAAAAAAAGCGGTTCCATAGTTACCATTCCATAAAAACTTAAGCTTAGAAATGACATGACTTTGCGATTATAATAGCTGATTATCAGTGATTCAATTTCACTTTGCCATCGTACTTGAACCAGGACTAGATTAAGTTTCACACTTTATGACACAATCAGTTGAAATTTACCCAAATCAAATGAACATCGTTAGCAAAACATTTGCACAATATTGTAGACAATTAAATTCCAACTTAATCTCCTATTTACGAAGGAAGAAATGCAAAATTTTGGCATAAGCACAAGATTTTTTTCTTCAATTCACTTGAGCAAGCTACATTCAAAGCAAATAAACATGTAGAAACCAAAATCAAAGCTTGACGTGAAAATTCAGTTTGAACATATATTTTAACCATAAGTGCTAATGGCTTGCCACATTTAAGAGTATATATATCACATTCAACATTCTTAAATATTTGAAGCTATCTGAATCAATCAGTTGGAATAAACAAGCGAATGAAATGTGCTATTAATTGCCATTGCACATGAAATGCAGCCGAGCAGTTTATCAAAATGGAACGTAAAGAAATTATCCCATAAGTTAAAATTCAATTGTGCACTTATAAATTCATAATGATTTCTGTAAAACACAAATCAATTGCATATGGTATAGTGTGAATAAAAACTTTTTTGTCATTTATCTTATTTAAACCAATAAATCTGTAGAGAAGTTTTATTTTCACAAACAACAAAATTGTGCGATTATTTCTAAGGATATTCAATATGAGCTTAAAATAGCATTATTCGATCAAGAGGCCTCCCTTAAATCCAACAAGCTTTGATGAACTTCGAAAGATGAACTTCAAAGTAAAAGCTCAAAGCTAGCAAATGACGTGCTGGTATCATTTCAGCCAAACAGATGTAGCTGTTGTAAATGAACTCGACGAATAAATTAAGACATCATAGCATTTCGAATGCAAATATAATTTGTTATTTATACTATGAAAGCAGGCATTAAATCAAAAATCAAGGTGGTGATTTTTCGAAATTTCTTCAAATTCATTAAAATTCATTTGAATAAATCCATAATAATGAATTTAAATAGAAAAGAACGATACAAACGACAACGCTAGTTTGATCAAGAAACTTGAATTAAGATTGTGGTCGAATGGTTTGCGTTAAATAATGCCATTACTTTTTTCACACGCCTCCTTCCAAAACTAGAAGAGAATTGATAGATTTTTGGCTCAGGTAGGGCTGAAATCAGTGAACTTTCAAAGCATGCATTTCGATCTTCATTTTTTTTTTTCAATTTTGAATGGTCGAAATATCCATTAAAAAAAACTGTCAGTCTCGAGATAGTTTGTTTTTTTCCATACAATGATAAGACATACATGCAGCCCAACTGAACTTCGTGTCCTTATGTTCTAGTTGTTTTAGCACTTTGCATGTGAAAATAACGAAGCGCCAGTCGATTCGTTCGTCTCTCACTCATATACCGCACATTTTTCCTAACATTTTAGTTGGTTGATTAATTTCAATTGGGGAAAGTTTATTGGGAGCGGCACAGCGGGTGTATCGTACTCAATGCATGGCTTCGTTCCGTCTATCTCATTCTTTAGCTGTTTTCCATACGTGCAAGACATTCTCGCTAATTTTCAAGCGAGAACGCGCGCGCGATTATTTTTTTATGGCCATAAGAATCCGTGTAAACAGTAGTATTCCGTATAGAAAATAGCTTTTCATGCACGAAACATTATTTATGTGAAGAGATGAGAATAAATGTACGACTTTGTCGAACGACGAAAGAAAGAAATCGCCCACGAAAATGGTTTACTAAGCAAGGAGACACTTGAAGTTCCTACTCACTGTGTGAAAAGCGTTTCACCTGTATATCGACATAAATGACTGTCTGAGCCTAATCAATAGTTCATGTGATATACCATTTTTGTTCTTGGTGCTTCATCGTCATTACGCATTCACGTATAATAATTATAAGAAAGGAAAAGAATATAACGCCAATATGAATATGTGCGATAGCACACACAATGTGAGCATATGCTTACACTGCGCAATTTTTTTTCCGCTATGACTCCAAAGTCTCGCATTCGATGTCTGCAAGTTCGAGCCTTTCCTTTATTTGAAAATTGATAATTTTGGTGTCGTCTTGTGCAGCTCACTCTCTCACTCTGTTTGGATTGGGCGCTACGGTCCGAAACTTCATTTGAAATTTTTGGTGCTATTTTGAATTGTGCGAATAAGTTTCGTTTCCATTTTATTTCACTTCTTCCCCGGAGTTCAAACATCAAAGGGATTCTTCAAATAAAACAATGGGCAATAAAATTGCAACGTTCACCGAGCAACAGTTGGACGATTATCAAGTGAGTTGAAATGAAAGAAAAAGAGAGAAGAAGAGAAGGCAAAAACAAAAAATACATACAATGTTTGTAAATTATTTTGTGTGGGATTATCACAGTTACTAATAATTTTCATGGTTATACATTTTCTTTCATCTATTTTTAGGATTGTACATTTTTTACGCGTAAAGAAATATTAAGGTAACTAAAATGTTGCAAAATGATTCGATTATAGGTGTCTATCCTGAGTAAATCGATTATAAGTGTCTATATCAATGTTCCGACTGTGTGTGTGTGTGTGTGTGTGTTTGAGTGCGCGCCAGCGCAACAACCAAATAGTAAATGAAGAATTCATAACAATTTTGATTATATTTTCCAACGATTATTCATAATTACTGAAATTGTAAACATTTACATTTACCTCACTTTGTGTTTCTCTCTCTTTTTTTCGATTTGGTTTTTGGAATCGGTTTGTTTACCATTTTGATGTTGATAAACAAAAAATGAAAACCAAAAATCAACGTGAAATCACCGAAAAACGTGCAGAGTTTATAAACATTTTCGTGATTTACGGCCGGATTTAGTGCCAAAGCGAATGACTGAAGGTCAAGCATCCAGTATTCGACTGTCGCATCAAGACATTACCGTTCTTGAGGAACTGCGCGAGAATCCATTCAAACAACGGATATGCGAAGCATTTTCACGTGATGGAAAGGGCAATTTAACGTTTGAAGATTTTCTGGATCTATTGTCAGTATTCAGCGAGCATTGCCCTCGTGATATCAAAGTGTTTTATGCGTTTAAAATTTACGGTAGTTTCCAAAGACACGTTTCTCTCATAAGCCACTTGTTTTGTGCTATTCTTGATCCGAATTTTGCTTTTTTTCCCTCTCTGTTTTGTTGCTGCTGTGTTTCGTGTTCTTTTCTTTAGATTATGATAAGGATGGATTCATTGGACAATCGGATTTGAAATCGGTCATTGAAGCGTTAACACGAAATGAATTGACGCCCGAAGAGCACCAGCAAATTGCCGACAAAGGTATGCGTTCACTCAACGATATAATGTCATTTTCTTTTCAATACATTTTTCCTTTCTTTCTTTCGCTTAACGCATCTGTACTTCTTCATCTTTGTCGCCGAATAAGTTATCGAGGAGGCGGATGTTGATGGCGATGGAAAGCTGTCTTTTTTGGAATTTGACCATGTCGTAACCAGAGCACCAGACTTTTTAAACACATTCCACATTCGTCTTTAATCTTTGATTTTATTCTATTTATACCCATACATTGTGTGTGTGTGTGTGTGTGTGTGTGTTTTTTTTTTTTTTATGTGCATTCAATTTTTTGTATTCATATCAAAATGGCAACGCACAAATCCGGCTAACAAAATAAAAAATACAATTTATTCTTAGAATGAGTCAGCTCGGCGCCATTTGTAAACGTTTATGATTTGTCGGTCAAAGATCATTTGGCATGTGAACTGCAGGTGGTGACTGTCACTGTTGCCCTTTCCCATGGAATCCTTAGATACAACTGGAAAAAAAACAAACAAACAAACATCATTTAAACCGATTAACACTCTTTGTACAATTTTCTTTTCTTTTTTTTTGGTAACCCAATTTTTCGTTTATCCACCACATGCCTTTTCCAATGATTTTGTCAAATTTATCAAGTAGCATTTTAGTCCTTAAGCTCTGTTAATAAGAAACCAACAAAAATATCGATATTATTATCCGAATTGAGAATGAAAATAAAAGAGAAATTGTAGCGTTGACAGAAAATGCGAATAACCTTGTGCACATTTTTTTTCGTCAAGTAATTCAGTCATCATGGGCAATCGTACCACTCGAATTCATTTGAATGAATGCTTCGCATAATAAATAGAACGATGAATGAAAGTCATCGTTTCATTTAATTCAATCAGTAGCAAATAACAACGGATCTTCAGCTAACGAATGAAAATAAACACGAAATAAATAGTTAAGACTTAACCAAATACCAATGGTAAACAACAAAATATTTTATCTTGATGATAATCCAAACAAAAATAAAACAACAAAACAAGACGCCATAACTGAATCAAAACAAAATACGGAAATTTCGCCATACACACTCTTACACATATACGCACACGCACACACAACGCAAGTACGGTTCAGTTCGGTCTACAAGAGAAAGGAAAAGCCAGAGCGAAATGAAATACCCAACAAAATAAGAGCACAACACCAGCTTCTAGATTACAATGGATCAAATACCTATTAGTCACTATTTACACGAATCAATTTCGTTTGCATACACAATTGATCAATAAAAGAAATCGGATACATTCAACATGCATAGATAACAATTCGTCTTTTTGTTCTGCATTGAAATGTATATTTGTGTAAACACGAAATATAGAAAATGAAAATAACGAAAGCAATAATCTCATCAATGACATTCGTTTGGTCGATTCAAATATATATAGCACAGACACACGTGTTTTTAATTTTAAGTCTCAAGACATTTAGCAGAACACGAGCATTTTCAGGCTGCAGCAAAGACGGTGGAATAATAGGAAAAGACATCGCCAACGACAACGACGACGACGACGACGACGACGACGACAACGACAACGACGACGACGACGAAGACAACGACAACGACGACGACGACGACGATAACGAAGACGATATTCTTTCTATTCATAACGACCTCTGAAATTGACCCACTTTCGATAACGCTGCGTAATTGCGAAAATCACTGTGAAAGCAGCCAAAATGAAAAAGGTATGCGCTATACTCAGCATTTTAATATTTTATTCAATACATTCTTTTTCTTTTCACTTGATTTTCTTTTTCATGCATGACTTTTTGTCATCTTTATCGCCAACGACAAAAAAAAAACACAAATTCCATGTCATTTTTTGGTCTGAATAACATCAGACATCCAATTCCAATGATCTGCTCGAACGTTTTGAACAGAAGGCGACACAAAGTAAGTTTATTACTGAAATGTCTATCTGTGTATACAATACGCTTATTTGCCAAAGCAAATCATGATAAATTCTTAATGCGTTCGTGTGTTTTTCTTCTTCTTTTTTTTGGCATTCAGGTGTAACTGCCGAGTATGGTAACAATGAGCTGCTTTTCGTCTATAAAAATTTAATTGGAAACCGAAACGCTTCGAGTCCAATTGGAATTTTCGAACAACGTCGCAGTTCAGGCGATACGGATAGTCTGAAAAAATCGCCAATTTTAGACGAAATCTCCAAATGAAATTATATTTTTTTCTCCTTTTCCAAGTTTTTATTTTCGCAAAATATTCTCCAATGTTATTCCATTTCTATTGATATTGCGTTTGTTCAGTTAATCATTTATGTCATTGAAAGACCATTCAGAAAAATAAGAAGAAACTAAAATAAACAACCTCAATTTTAAATCTGAAACAATGTTCCGTTTTTAAATAGAATAAACATTGAAAAATGTATGGAATAGCTTTTGATCATGTGATACTTGGACTGAGAGAGCAGGGAGAGAGAGAGAGAGAGAGAAATAACAATGGGATCGATCGCATCGAAGACGCATATTTTCATTTGAGTTTGCATAATAAAACGATGTTACGCGCCACCATATGTGTGTTTCTGTACACATTCCAAGTCAAAAATGCAAACAAGCACACCTAAGCTCACCGCACAAAATTATCAATAACAACAACAACCAAAACGGTAGAAGTAACAGCAGCCAAAAATAAGAATCGATAGCGCAATGCCAACACACAAACCACAATCACAAAGATAAATATTGCAAGAATGTATTCTCGATACCGTCATATGTTGCAAATTTAAATTTCATTTTGTTCGATAATGCTGTCTGTTCAGAATTGGAGCAAAGAGACTTCTCGAACGAAACACGCCACCATGGTCGAGTCAGCATCATGTGAGCATCATAACCAACATTGAGAAAGTGCGAGAAAGGAAAGGGAAAAAAAGATTAATATGTGAATTGACTTAAACGCTTGGTGTCTGCATGTACGATAGGTTTTGTTTGAAAGCGCACACTTTGTTTCATGCAACACAGTTAAGAAGTTTACTAAATATCATTAAATAATCATGACCGCGCATGAAAATTTGTGTCCTGGTTTTTTTTTTTCTCTGTGTCTATTCTATGGCAAAATATTTGCAGGATAACGGTGGGATGCGTTATTAAATGTCGTTTGTTGATTTTGTGCATGTGTATGTCTCCCATGTGACATTTTCTTGATTGAGTATCCAATCCATACAAAATCCCGAATTTCTTTTGACTATCTGTGAATTGGAATTTTTTTTTGATCGATTTAAGCAGCCAGTCAAAATATTTTCACATGGGATGTATGTGTGGGAAATGTGAGCAATAACCGGGATTATTCGATTTAAATTGCCCCACAAATACAAATATTTGCATCTCATGTATCTTGACGGCAATACTGTTGAGCAATTTGCCAATATAAAAATATAATGATGGAAAATGCGACGAATACGGGCACACAACAATCCAAAACTGTTCAGTAGCACATTTATACTGCTATCGATGCCCAGACATTTTTAATACGCTTACGGCTCATTTTGTACATTTACAAGACGTTTTATTGTGTGGGAGAGAGAGAGAGAGAAAAATGCCATATAAATCACGATCGAAGGCCCGAGAGGCTTTAGCCTCGCTCCCTCCATTTGTACATGTCCATGGTTATCCTAATAAAATCTAAATATTTGATAATTCATTGGTCGCTGAAACGTTGGAATTGGATTAGTTTGGTTGGTTTGGCTGGCTGTTACATAATTGTGTCTGGAACATCGTCTTTGGTTGGGCTTTCATCAGCACAGTCGCCACCGCGCTGCACGCAATACCGAGGAAAATTCCTAGAAATTTTGGATTTACGAAAGAAAATTCGACTGAATCCATATACTAACGTACATTGGTTTGATGAGGAAAAGGTTTTTTGGCTTTCTGGAATCGAAGCCACTTTCCAAACTACATTACATGATCAATCACAATGGGTGATTTATTATTTGACCTTGTAAATTCAGTAAATTCTTAATCAGAACAAAATTGCCTCATGGGTGGAAACCATATAATACCGGATGAAAACGTCGTCAATACCGAGGAAGATCGTGCATAATTTCATAAAGAGTGGGGCATAAATCATTTGGTATTCGTCCATATTTGCGATGATGGCTTGTAATATTTCTCTCTATTCACAAGCGGATATTGACCTATAAATAATGATTATTTATCGATGAGATCGTTACATTGTCTATTCAACAGTTTGTGCAACAACAGTTTGGGCACACACGCGCGCGTACGCATACACACAATTGACACACAGAATATTTTGGCATGGCTTCGCGTGTGTATGTGCCATTAACAAGCTACCATCGTACTTAGCGATGAAAGTTTTTCGTCGTTTGGCCGACGAATGTGTCAGACAACCCAATTTTACATAACCGAAAATCCGTTTATTTTTCGATTGGCTTTGTCGTTTATCCCGACTAATGACAGAGAATTCGGTAGACATGACTGTAACTGTTGTATGTTTTGAACTACAATTTTATCAAAGCTAACTCGATGTGCAATAGTAACTAACTCAATCCATACTTGAACATTTCGAACGAGGTTTGAATGTGGTGGAAGTGTATGCTCTTTTTTTGCTCTGGTGCACACACAAACAACTTTGATTTCACTTCGCCGTCGCCAATGATAATGCGTGAATAACGAATAGAAGAGAAGAGTGCGTCAATCTTTGACTTTATATGTTTAGATGTGATTGAACTGAATTATTAACAATAACATTAATCGACCTAGTGAAAATATATTAAATGTCATAAATATAGATAAGATGACACACACACACACACACACACACACACACACACACACGATCTCACACATAAACAAAAACACAAACACAATAATACGATGGTGGCGATTGTTGCAAACGATTAAACGTCAAGCGCACCATAAATGTCATAAACTATTCAAACATAAACACCCTACTAGAATAGAACTCTGTTATAGATATATGCGTTCGATATAAAGTTGCTTATGTCATCGACGCCTCGCCGATGAAAAATGACTTATTTATACAGAGAGTTAATTCAACAGTTTTCTTTCTTTCTTCCTTTCTTTCTCTCTGTCTGCTTCTCTATCACCGCATGACTCTAGTAGTGTAAACAATGCAAAGCCAGCGAACAATTGCGTCAACTCCAATGTACATAGAGATACTTGGAAGATGAAAGAAAATTTCACGATTGCTTACGTTTTTATGTATTCATCATCTTCT